CTTCTTTGGTGACAGGGCGAAAACCGGCCTTGCTGCAGGAACGTTATCATCTCCTCCACAAGAAGCATGAGCGCGCTTTTCATTTTTTTGCTGAAACGCATCACTCTGAAGTCCTGCTCCTCCTGTGCTGGTTGCGGTCTTCTTGTAGTCTTTTCGCTGTACTGCTACAGACCCGGACCCCGTCTCACGACGTGCACCTGGTATCAACGCGAAGGGCTGCTGCGCTAAAGCATCAGGAGGTGTCTTTACGCGATCTTTGCGCAAGCCGCCGCGCGCGCTCTTCATGCCTTGCTCGGGTGGTGGGGATTGCCACCTCTGGTCCTCAGCTGCCGCCTTGCGCGGATCGTACCGCTGCTTCTCGCACTCATCCTGAATGTCTTCCATGAGACGTGTTAGTTCCTCACGCCCCTTGGCTCGCCTCGTAAGGTGTAAAGCATCCATGTCTATCGACTGGCGCCTTTGTCGCGCTAGTTGGTCTAGTTCACGCGCTCGCGCCTCACGCTTTTCTCGTGCACTCCGTTCCGCCTCTGCTTTTTCGTTGCGAGCTGAGAGACGCTCTGCATCGTCAGCGGCCGTGGTCGGATCAACGCTCTCGCTTGCTTTCTCGACAAGGAGCGCCTGTAGGGCGCCACGTTTTCGGTCACGGTTCTTCGCCTGCTCTTTGAGTTTCTTCTTCTCTGATTTCACATGCTGTTTCAGAGTCGCTACACGCTCGGCAACGGAAACGGCCTCCCCTGCAGGTTCAGTTTCCTCATTGGGATCTTTACTTCCAGCCAGTGACCCTTCTACTCCTTCGTTCTGTGGTGCAGAGATGAACTCATCCTCGTAGTTGTCAAAAAAATTTTTGAGCGCTTTGCGCTTGCCATCGCGCATTGCAGCCTCCTTGTGCAAAGTCTGTTTCTCCTCATCGACGTAGCCCTTCAGAGCTTTGAAGCGCGACTTTGCGTCTTTGGGGACAACCTCTGCTTCTGGCTCGGGCACCACCACAGCACCGACTCCTTCAACTTCGGCGACGTCGGCGGCCACTAACTCCAACAAGGCTGGTTCTTGGTCAGTCTTGTCCATATTCAAGGTCCCTTCCGGAGCAGCATCATCTTCCGTAGCGTTGCCTTCGCCTTGATCAGCTGCAAGTCTTTCCTCTCCAACCACAATCTGGGTATCGCCTCCTTCCTGTGCAAGATCTTCTGGATCATCAGGTCTAGGTCCCGCAAGATCAAGGCTAATTCCGGCGTCCGTATTAACACCAGGACCAGTTTCCTGCGTTACACGGTCTGCATCAACTGCGTCTTGGACATTCTTACTGGATTTTCGACTACTCTTGCTCACATGCTCTGGATTATTTTCGTCACCAGAAGAAGATGTAGTTGGGTCTCCTACCTTTTGTGGTTCATCGAGGTTTACCGTACTTTCAGGCTCGAGAAATATGCAGGAGTTCTCTTGCAGTTCCTTCGTTGGTGCTCGCGCAGCTTCTTCATTTGCTTTTGCTAGGGCACTCTCGTCTCCGCCAGATCCAGACATCTTCTCGTGCTCTTTCTCATGGGAACTGCCAAAGTCGAAACCTTTTCCCGACTTTGGAGGCGGAGACGGTGTTTCCGCTCGCGCTACGAGGACCGGCGCAGCTGTCTGGGATCTCCGCATGTCTTTACGATGTTTGCGCTTCGACCAAGAACCCTTGGAAAGATCTAGCCCTGGGACGTCCTCGTGTAGATTCGGAAACGAGTTTTTGTGGCGTACTGCGTGCACGCTTTTGGAGTCTCCTTCCTCCCTTATTGTACCTCCCTCTGCTTCGGACGCGGAAGCGGATGAAACTGCGCTACTTGTTTGCTGACCGCTTCTACTGCCACTCGGAGATGAAGCACCAGACGACGGGACTTTCCTGCCCTTCTTCTTTTTCTGGTCGGTTGCCACCGAATCTTTACCTGCTAAAGGCGGAAGCTCTACTGACCTCTCAATCGCAAGACTTTCATCGGCGACCTCCCCACGTCCCGGAACATCAGTGTCGACAAGTACTACGTCTGTGCTCGCAAGGCTACCTTTTCGGCTGCGCGATTCCAACCCCAGAATTCCCAGGGTCGCCCCAGCGGCGACAGAGCTGCGACGGCTGCCGCCCTTTTCGAAAGCAACGCTCACTCGAATATCATCCAGCATACCAGAATCGATATTTGACTTAGCCCCTTGTCGTTGTTCCACGAAGCCCTCACGCCTATCGTCCCTATGGTCCTTCGACGGTGCTGCAGTGCCTTTGCGAGCCATACGAGCAAGTGGATCTTTGCTCATATCATCAAGACTTGAGATCGAGCGCGCGGAGACTGGCGGTGGGAGCTCTTTGACTAATGGTGGACACAAGAACTCCGAAACATCACGAGCAGCAACGGAACGCTTTGGCAACTGGTGCTCGTCCTGCTCAGAAGTGCCCTCCTTGTCCCTACCAGATGTTTTAGCACTTTTGCTTTTAGAAGCTAAAGCCTTCTTATCGCTTTTTGTTTTCCCAATGCCGGCAGACGCTTGTTTCTTTGCGGGTGGACCACTCACAGACCCAGAGGGAGGTCTAGGGTTCTCCGTGGCGGTCTTTGATAAAGTTGGGCTTCTGCTTTTGCTCTTGGGCCGTGCATCTGCGCCAGAGACAGGGACTGTTTTTGCATTGTGATTTCGGCTCGTGTCACCATCCTGCTTCTCCGGCTTCGATTTCGACGCAGGTGAAGACCTTTTTCCGGCTGGTGCCGGATAGAGTGAAGCTCGCTTGGTTGTGGTCAGCGCATTTTTGCTTGCAACACCAGCATGTTGGGGAGACCCATCGCGAGCTTTGCCACCGAGTCGCGTTTCGGGAGCTAGCTTAGGCGACGAGCTTCGGGTTGGCGCTCGTGAATCGGTTGTCTTCGGACTTGTTGTTCGTGATCTCGCATTGCGCGCTCCAGCTGCGAGGGTTGTCTTACTCTGGCCTGCGATTGGCGGAATCACCAGCCCGCCAGCAGTTGCGATCCCCGTTTGTCGATTACTGGATTTGGCACTGTGAGGATGTCTCCCTGGGGATGCAGCGGCAGGCAGGCGCTGCTGTCGCTTTTTCTCCTGCTGCGCTCCTCTGTTTGCCAAGGCACGTGCTTGAGAGCGACTGCTTTCCAGGAAATACCGTGACGGGATTGTATTCCGAAGCCTAATCGCGGTCGGCGACGGCTTTGTGTCTCCCCCGAAGTACCGCTGTCCGCCCGCACCGGTATACAGAGTATGAATCAAACGCGTTACGGATCGTTGACGCTGGTAGTTCCGACTTGCAGTCTCGGAGGCGGGCGGAGAAGGACTACGCTCTAGTCGTGACTGGTCAAACGGACGACGCTGACGTGCACCCCCGAGAGGACTCGACGGTAGCCGAATTCGACTCGTGGAGCAATATTGATCTGCTTGCGTAGATGTTGGCGCTTGAAAAACCAAGTGCGAAACGAGTTCGTCAATGTCGGCATCACGTGTGTCCAGGAACAGACTGCGAGCGCGATCAGCGGATGGTGAAACACTGCGATTGTTAAGAACTTCATCGTTGGGCGAACCGAAGATGCCAGCATGATGTGCACGTGCGGCCACTTCCGCTTCTGCGGCTGATGTTTCCTGCTCTGCTTGTACTTGTGCTTCTGGTACTTCATCATAGTTCTTATGTTGCGGATGGTCATTTCGTGAAGTCCGAAAGATCATCGTATTTTCCGCTGATCCTGAGCCGGAGCGACTACTTTCGACATCAGCCTCCTCATCTTGCTCGGCAACATCCGACGATACAGCCGACATGACTCTCTTCCTCCCTCAGATTCCACAAGGACAAGCTGCGCAGTCTGTTTGTATTCGTGTCGAGTCTAATGCAGGTGCACACGCTTGATCTTGTGGAGGCGTGCTCCAACAAGATCATACCATCGCGAACCAGCCGACACCCCCATTTCAGTGTTTTCTCTCTCCCAGGCTTGCATGCTTAGAAGTCGTATGAACCTACCAAACTGCGTGTGTGCATTGATGTTGCCTGACCGCACGCTGCCGATTGCTGTATTAAGTCAGCATGCTCACCAGGAATCATGCAATGAATGCAGAGATGATGACATTCTCGTAATCCATGATGTGGTTGTGTGTGTAATTGTGTTGTTGCGTCAGTGTTCACTGAGGGCCAGATGAGTAAACAAGATTGATGCCGAAGAGACGCCTGAGCTAGTTTTGTTGGACCATATCTATGGCCGGTGACAGTGGCAGAAAATGAAAATGTGAGCAGGAATGTAATCCACCTGGGTTACCTCTGTGATCACAGGAATGGCCACGGCGCTTCAAAAACCACAGAAATTTGAGTCAAACTTTACTGAGATAAATTGATTCCGTAGACCATGGACAAACTACCCAAAGTCGGCTTTCGCCGAAGAAAAGATATGGGGCCTTCCTGTAATCGATCATGCTCAAATACCGACGAAAAACAACAGATATTGAAGAATATGAGTAAAACTATTTCTCTCTCCTCCCTCTGCCTCTATCGCGCTTGTAGTCTATACACGTCTACGACCGACTCGGAGCAATCACACAGCTAAACTATATCAACATCTCGATAGCAATATCATGATCCTCCGAAAATATCTCTCTGGGACCGACTTGTAACCAGAAATCATCTTAACAATTATTTAGTTGTTCCTTTCGTGAGTTCCTTTTTACAGAGCAATAGTACATCGACCTCATCATCCAACATCTCTCGGTCTCGGTACACGTAGTCACTCAACCTCCTTCGGAGGGAATGCACAGACTGGCATGTCCACACAGAGAACTTTTTTAGTCAAGCACCGACTGCGACTACGCAACGATCGTTTCGTCAAGACCGAAGGTGGCACAAAGAGTCGATTTTTCTGTACTGCTCCGACAACAAAAGTCATTGCCAATAGCCATCGAAAACCTGTACTGTAATTCTAATTGACGGTGTATACCCATAGCGGTAGTACTTCTACTCACAAGTCACACGTATCGAGCCTATCAAAGCATGAAAACGGTCGGTATACAGCGGCTTCAGACAGGGACTGTTCGACGACGCGCAGTCAAAGCCGATCCATCGGGACTATCAATCAGGTTGCCTTCGCAGGGCACCGTTTGTATTCCGAGAACGCCGAAAGCGTGACCCCAGTGTTGTCCGGTGTACCTGCCGGCGACGGGCGGAGTGCATTAACCTCCTTAGACAACCACACACAAATTGCCTACGAGCCCGTCGATTATAAAATGAAGAAAGAACTAGGGGCAAAGGAGGCGATTAGTTAAGTAATGTAAACCGCCACCGACTGCCAACCGTCCTACTCTTATGCGCCAGCCTACAAGGCACGAGGGCAGGGCCGCCAGCCCTACTTACTCTTGACTAATGCGCAGGGAGCTGACAAGTGAACAACTAGAAGTAGATGCCTCCTGGGTTAAAGCCCTAAGTACAACACGTTACTCATTGTTGGGAGTGCAATAGCCTCGCTTTTCTTATCTTCGCTGCTTCGTTCTCCCTCCTTCGCCCCGTGCACCATCCTCGGCCGCGTTCCGCAATCGCTAAAAAATAACCAAAAAGAAAAACAAAAACCGGGGAGCTAACTCCTACCAAAGGGTCCACCTTACGTCTGATAGCCACTATTCTGCTAAGAGCAGGCGGGAGATGAAAGGAGCGGCAAGGGAGAGCGATGGGACGCGCTCCCCCTTTTAATTATGCAGCTTCTCAACAGATTCACCTTATGCTTCGAGTCATTCAACGCACCAACGTCGACCATATTCCTATTCGAGCAATATCACTCTTCTCTCGTGGTCACCAGCTGCTGGACAGATTTAGTAACTCGCTCGAACCGTGCGCGCACTACTGCAAGCAGTCTCGCACTAGGTTGCACTCAGGCACCGACCTCCCCGCACCTGCGACTGCCGCATGTCCAGGACTCGTTATTATTCGTGCATATTAGCTATAGCTGTTCACTTTACCGGGTAAACCCAGCACTATATTAGCATAGAACTTACTGATATTTCCTGATTTTCTTGATGCATCGAGCAGATTTCCGCGTTGTGGGCGCCTTTGTAACTGTTGATCGTCGGCAGGATAAGGTCATCGTAGAACATCGAAACATATTCATCTGCGCAGCACGGAAGTCTGATACTGATGTAGATGTTGTGGGAGATAAAATAAATGGCCATGCTGAGTGTAGCTTGTGTCGGTGTCCTATCTAAGGGTATAACTTCTTGTTCTTTGCAAGGAAAAGAAAAATGACTAAGCAAAATATACATGATAATGAAGAATATAATATATTGATTACTACAACGGGGTAACCTCGTACTGAAAAACCTCGTCCGAATGAGAATTGACATTTTGAAGCACAAGCACTTGAGGATGAAGTTCACTCAATATGCAGATGCACATACTCAAGTCCGAGTGGATATTGGGATGTTGAGTCGACGAAAGTCAAATTGAATGTTCTGCTTCTGAACTCATGAAGCAAAGAGATTAGTTTTACTCATTTCAGACTACTAGCCTAATCTTAGAAATAGAAGTTACAGTTGTACTACTTCTTCTTATGGTCGATCTTGATCTTGATGCATTTTCACGCTAAAAGTTCTACAGAGTGAGTGTACTAGTAGTTGTTGTTATAGTATACAATAATTACGGACGCTCCTCCATCTCCCTCTACCTGTTACTTTTAGTTTTTTGTAATCGCATTTTGAAATGTTCATAGATATCGTCGCTCGTCATTATGTTTTGTCTGTTCGACGAATGTTGATAAGTGAGATCGAGTTCTGCAGCGAGAAACGGCGTTTGGTTTTTATGTATCGTCATGCAGTTTGTTTTCAACCGAAAGGTTTCCGTTTCCATCTTGTGCTTCTAAAGATGTAGATGTTGATGTATGCGGCTGTAACATATCTTTTCGTTAAGAGTTGTACTTTTAGTGTCTCGAAACTACATATGCTGTGGTCATGGAAGATCTTTTCATCAGGAACTCGAAGTAAGACTATGCATGAAGAAGTCGCCATTCATGCTACAAAGAGCCAGATGACCACAGCACTTTGATGCTAGATGTCTGACGAGGGTAATAGTCTTGAACAGATATAAATAGTTGGTGGTGATCGTGATTGTGGGTTTTTCAACTATTTTCACCCCCACGCCACTTCGGAGTTGTAGTTGTGGAGATCATCCCGCCGTAGCATCGACTTTCTTTGCTCCCGGCTTCCCGAAAAGCGTGGTTCCACGATTGCGGGCGAAGTTCGTGACGTTGAAGAGCGTTCGTCGATAGACGCCTGCGCTCTTAGGCCTCCTTGACTCTGTCTCACTTGCGCCGCCTCTCGACGAGCGTTTATCTGCGGCTGGTCTAGATACCATAGTCGCCATTTTGGTAGCCACACTCAATGGCTGCTCGAAAAATGGCTCAAGCTCTTGTTGAGCCAGCCGCTCCCGTGTCAAAGACAAAGGCACTGCCTTAGCTGCTACGTAGTCTGTGACGACAGTTGACGTAGATTCTGCAGATGCGCGCCGGCGCGTCGGAGTTCGACTGCCAGCTCCGTGCTCTGATATTGCTCTGGGGCTCACGTTAGAAATGTTGTGTGAATGTGATGCGCCAGATGTTGCTTGATCATGTACTACCAGAGAAGTTGTTGCGACCACTGCTCTTGCACCCCTTCCAGCAATCGTTAACTGCTCACTGTTCACCGGGATAGGGGACGATTGCATTCCCCTCGAAAGATGAGTCGGAATAACTTGCTGCATACCAGCGACAACTATTTCCTGCAACACCGCACGCCTCTCTGCGTCCTGCTGACGCTCTGCAGTTGTTGTAGGTGCCGATTGGATCATCTTTGTCGATGAGTAATTTGTAGTTGTGTTGAAGAGCTTCGGAGGGCTTTCGATCACTGGTATCGGACTCTCGAAGGGCAGAGGAGCTAGGGAAACGTCGGGTGCTGCGAAAAAAACTGTGGGGTTCACCTCGCCACGACAAGCGGTAAACTTCTGAGGTTGGGCACCTCCTGGGGCCCCGCGAATTCGAATAGACGGCGCGCCCGCTGCTGCTAAACTCTCCGGAGCGGTGCGTGGGGATGCATTTCCATAGCCGTTTGCATCTTGTGACGGGACAGGCGGAACCGCGGCCGCCCCATGGTAGATCGCGGCTGCCTGAAGTGAAACTTTGAATATATATTTATCGTCCGGTCCGCGTCCTTTCTAGGTCTACTTCTACTTGATCTGAGAAAATATCTTACAGCGTTTACTTGTTATCTTCGAGCAAGTTGTAGACGTAGAGAGTCCAGTAGCGACAAGAGAGGAGCTAGACAGCCGGGAGTTGCATAGTACCTTGTTTTCGTTGCCTTTCAGGGCAGGTATGTTGCCAATCCGCAGAGAACCTACATTTCCGAAATGCTGCGTCGTCGCTGTTGGGGACGCGATCGTTTCGTTGTGGAAAACAGCGTTGTTCGTGAGTGAACGACTTCCTATAGTACTATCTGCAACTCCTGGCTTGAGCAGACCCGGTGCAGGAGGTGGAGCAGTACTACGACTAGTACTTCTGGGTGGTGTTGCTCCGCCTTTGACAGACGTCTCCAGGAGCTTCTGTTTTGCTTTCGGACTGGGACTGCTCTGGTCGCTCGCAGCCTGAAGATAGGCCTGATCGAGGATCCTGCCAGCGTTATCCTTTACGAGCAGGCTGACGTCGCCTTGCCGTTTTCCTGGCGAAATAGAGACATGGTTTCCGCCAAACGTGAACTGGAAACCTTCGGCCTTATCATTCATGTTACCCAACAAGAACATATCTTCCTTGCCCGGGCTTTCGATCACCGGCGTGAGCATCTGTCGGGGAGTCGCGGCTGGATGGTGATTCGAGTGCGAATGCGATGCTACGAGGATATTGTTCTGACCAAATTCAAAATCAGGGGTAGGAGGCGGAAGTGCAAGAGGAGATGTCGAGGCCCGAACGCAGGAGTTTCGCTCTTCTGCCGAGTTTTGCTGCGATCGACGAAGAGCAGTTGAAGTGAAGCCACCCACACGAGGTGACGGCCTGCCGCGACCTCCACCACTGGGTCCTGCGGAGCCCGGCCGGCTCGTGGAAGGCGCTACCGGAGAGAGATAAGTGTTCTGGTAGCGGCTCATCATCGCTCTTTGCCCGTGTGCTCGGCCGTCGACGCTATGCGGACGCTCGTCGTAAGAAACCATGTCGCCGTTTGTAATTGGCAGAGAATGGCATCTAGGTGTACTCCGACCGCTGGACGCACTGCTTCCAGGCCTGCTTCTTCGCTGCAAAACACCTATTGCATTCCTTTGGATTCGCTGCTCGTGCGTCAAGTAATTCGGAGATACATTACTTCCCGCGAGAATAGTGGCACCTGATGATCCTCAGTCTTGTTGTTGTTTTTATGACGCAGCAAAACTTTGATTTGGTTAATATTAGTGATTACCGAATAAGAAGTGAGTCAGTTGTTCAACTTCAAATAGCAGTAAGTGCTTCTGGAAGAACTTACACAAGCAACGCCATCAAACAAAAATACCATCGCGCCCAAGTAGGTCTGACTCCTTTTTCCAGAACTTGTCCAGGTTCCCAGCAACTGCTTCGAGCTGCCTTTCTCGCTTGTCTTTGCCGTATGAAGCTGCAAGTTTCCGATTGCGGGCGACAAAATCCACACACATACTCGACCTTCGGGAACTCGAGCCAGAGGTTGACGGTCGTCTCACCGGCGGTTGCACAGAAAACTTTCGCCTGATCAGAAGTGACGAAGAAGCAAGATGAAGAACTATCACTATGAGTATGAAACTATGAGTATGAGATGTCAGAGCTTCTAAGCCACAACTACCCTGATTTTTTGTGCAAGAAGGTGAAGTTGAAGCAGCAAAGGTGGATCCGGGTCTTTCTCGCACTCTCACTCTCTTACGGTGCAGGTCAGACGAAAAGCAAAGGCATCGCAAGAGTGTTTATAGAAGAAGAACAAAAATATACGGTTGATATTCTTGGTTGGAACCCAAATTTAAGAACAAGTCTAGTCTCCAACTTCATCTTCAACTTCAACGTACGCGAAAATTTTCACGATGAAAACGTGTTCAGGGGGGGCGAACAAATAAGCCATCAGGGGGTCGTTAACTTCTAAGTACCTCACATCCCCATGACTGCCACTGCTCTGTGGCCGATCTTGCTTCTGGGCCCACGATGCTAGATAATTTGTGTGTTTCGTGTCCTGTTCCCACTCGTGCAAGCCCACATTCGTACGGTTTGCTGTGCGATCTCGCAACCAAACGTCATATTTGCGTTCTGGGCTCCATACGGGGTTCATCATCCTCGCTGCCTCATCGTAGTTCACGTGATCTCGCACAGCGATTTGCTGGGCCAAGGCCGCCCTGTAGTGGTCCTGGTCAGCACGCTTTTCTTTGGGGGAGCGGACATCTGCTGCGCTGTCTTCACGGACTAGCGTTGCACAGCCACTCAGACTCGACATATGCCGCTTGTTACGCGAACTCATTTCTGACACAGGGTGTTTCTGAACCTGATATTGCATGATACATTGTCATTTGTGTAGTATGTAGAAATCGAATTCTGGAGAAAACAATGTGCTGGGAAACATCAACTCCCATCTGTTTATTCAAAGGCAAGAACATCGTTAACAAGGACAAGATATAATAACAGGTGAAACGAAATCGATCGTAGTTGTATCGGCTAGCAGGAAGGATGAATCTACATTGAACAGTCTACCGCGCTCCCGTCGTTGTCGTTGTCGTGCGGTACATCGGTAAGAGCGTACATCGGAGAAATGCCACCTGGGCCCGTGGCACGACCTCCCTCAGTATCGAGGCCGGTTGAGTGCGCATATCCTGCGGATCTTTCGCGATATCCAGGGGACTGTTGCAGCCCGCGAGGCGACGAAGGCGGCGCGTTTTCCGGTCTGTATGAGTTCCCAAGACCTTCGGGATCCATCGTTTTTGGCTCCACAATTTCGTCGCGCCTACTTGCCTCCCGCAACGAAGAAGCTCTTCGCTTAAGTCCAGACCTTTTCCTACCTCTGCCTCCATCGTCGCTTGATCCTGTTCCACCAACTGCTCCTCTGTGCTTGTTCTCGTTGTCACTGGATGTCGCAGTCGTTCCCGTTTTGCTACTTTTGCGTATTAATAGAGAATCGAGTTTCTTTCGTACTTTTAGCTCGCGCGTCTCGGCTCGTGCCGCTTGCACGCGGGTCTCACGTTGTAAGCGCTCCGTTTCCGTCTCGATACTCTGCAATAGTGTTACACGTGATATTTCGGCAGACACAGCTTCGCGCTCCCGCTCGCGATGTTCCTGCTGGCTCTCCCGCTTTGCTTTCACCGCATCCTTGTTGTAATTGTCGCAAACCGCTTTCAAACTTCGGTGCGACAGCTGCTTGAAGACGCGGTCCGAGAAAGTGCCGTCACGATGCGCTTTCTCCTGTTGAGCGATATTCATATTGGAATTCGTCATTTTCGGACTGTGCATTTCTTCATGTCGAGGACAAGCAGCATCGGCATCAGTGGCTTCCTCATGCGTCCGTGAGGCCATCAAATCATGCTGCATGGGAGAGGTCATTTTCGGACTACTTGAATCCTCGTTCTTGTCACGGTCCCCGCTACCTCGATCGCCTCTGTTGTACCTGTCACGATCATTTCGTTCTTTCGGAGAAGCGGCCGTCCTGTAGTCTTCAGCTTCTGTGCTATTTTTGCGCACCGTGCAGCTGTCCTTTTCTCGCGCACCAGGAGACTTTATGAGAAAGTCCTTCTCCCGTGCTTGTGGTGAGCGCTCACGTCTGCCGTCATCTCCGAATCGGTCCCCGTGATGTTCACCGTCTCCTCCAAAACGCGCGAGTCGATCACCACGAGAGCTCGGGGAGCGGCCGTTAGGCGATGCGGAGTCATCCCCCCTCAACATTGCACGCGAAGGACTTCGGCTTTTCCCAGATTTCAGACTTTGCGCACTATATTGGCGCTGATATTCTGACCTGTAATCGCTTCGATTTCGTGGTCTCGCAGTCGGTGAAGGTGACCTTGATAACTGCTCGCCTGCGCTGGGAGAGTTTGAGCGATCTCGTCTTGGGCTTGCAGAATTGTTGCGGTGTACCGGACTAGCACTTCGACTCCTTGCTTTACCCTCGCGGTTGTGTCGATCATCTTGTCTGGTCGCACTTGGACTATCTCTGTGTCCAATTTTTTTCTGATTCGTGTCGATTTTCCAACAATTTCGATCGTAGTCCCATTCCGGCCAGGGCTTGTTCCATGCAGAACTCGAATCATTGCCGCCCCCCCACCATTGCCAATTATTCCGGTCCCAGTCCCAGTGCCATGAGCCTTGTTGGTTACTTTCTTGACGCTGCGGATCTCCAGGATTCGTCGTTCCAGCAACCTGCTGCATCATTCTGCCATAATCGTAAGATCCTTTATGGCGGGTCTCGGCTGAAGTCGGAACGCCAGGCATAACGACCGCGGCGTTAAAATTGTTCTGCGTCGTTGTCCTTGTCGTAGCGTTCGCAAACTGAAGAAAGTTCGGCTGACCAGCTCCTGGCGTTACTGTACTCATCTGAAATGGTCCTGCTCCTGCAGAAGTCGCGAGAGGATTGCTCGCCAATGCTGGTGCTCCACCTACTGCGCCGTTGTTTCCTCCCAAAGGTGCGAACAGCTGTGACGTTCCATGCTGTGCTGGTTGGAATCCCGCACTCTGTGCTTGGAGCCCAATTGGCGTTCCCAGCGTCCCCTGCTGCGGACGAGTTTGCCATGACATCTGAGGCATCCAGGTATTTGTTGCTGGCATTTGATTGCCGCCAAATCCACTGACACCCGGAAGACCGACGCCATGGTTGCCCGCACCACGATTTTCGTTGGGATTATAGTTGCTTACACCCGTCGTGGCCCACATGATTATTCTTTCAACGCGCAAGCAAGAACTAGAGCCGAGCAAAAATAATATCAATGCTTGCTGCACCGCCACCGCCGGTTTCTATTTGTTTTGCTTCCTCACGGACATGAGCACGGCAAAATAGCTAGATAGAAGTAGACGCACAGAAATGGTTAGTTATCTTCGATAATCAAGCAGTTCTGCAAAGCAGTGAAGACATGTAAGCAAGCGGCACATCTCTATAATTGTACTAGTTTTGTAATTGTATTTGTGCAATGTTGAAGGCGACCTACTTCCAGCCAGATGCCATCTCTTTTGGTGTTACGCAAGGAGGGACATGCAGATCAGATTCGCAAAAACAGAAAGACATACAAGGCTCTGCTTCACTGCATCTTTCTCTCTCTTTCTCCACGCCCTCAGATACACGCGTGGAAACGTCGCCGCTGATGTCGTGTGCTCGCCTTTTCCTCCGTGAGCCGCAGCACCTCTACGCGTTACTACATTTGCACAACATCCGCACAAAAAAAGAGGTCTATCCTCCTCTAGTTCCTTCAGGCAGTGAGACATCGACGTGGCTTCGCTGAGTATCAGGAGGATACCTCGTCAGTCTTTGATGTGGATGAAAGAGGGGACAGATAATTGACAATCTTCAACGAGCTAGGCTGAATAGTCACTGTCTGTGTCTTGGCGTCCAAGAATAGTTTTGGGATGAGTCATCATCATCAGGCGGTGTGGGTAATCCGTTTTATCGCACGCCGAAGGGGAAGGAGACGCCATATGCATATACTCTATCAATTTAGTATTTTTGTACTCGTTTGTAGCTTTCGCGTGTTTGATGTTAGTAGGGTTTTCATCTGAAGATGATGATCGTGTGAGTACGCATCCAAAGGCATTGCCGCTCATGCGTTTGAGCTTATATTTTTCCCGAATGAAGAAAAAAACGCGAAGTCGCAAATTTCATTTTTGAAAATTGGTCTGAATGGCTTCGGTCAAGTATCGCTAACCTGCCGCCTTCAACAGGAAGGACGAGGCAGACAATAGAGGAAGAACTCGATATCAAATACAAGGTCAACGCGCGGAAAGCAGCACAGTGTGATGGTCTTAGGTCTCCGGAGCTGGAAGCGACCCCAAAGATAAAAATAGAATAAATGTTGATATATATTTATAAGAAAGGTAAAAAAGATACTCATGCTTTTGCTTTTGTATTTGTTCTTATTCACGTATAATTTTCCGTGCATTTTTTTCATTCGAAAAGCATAGAATCTTAAAGACCGAGATATCATTTTCCCTGGCGGGGTGCTAGGTGCCTACATTTGCTTCAACATGATCCGTACTCACGATGTCAGTATCTTATGCTATTTGTGTTTGAGAATGATATCTTCAAAAGATGAGGATAAAAGTCCTTCGTAGGCGCTCAGGTTTTCATTTTATGTCCCTACGTAGTATCCGAGGTCGGTTGTCCTCGAGTAGTTCAAAGTAGAAGCAAATACGCACGACGCATTAACAAGGTGCTCGCTGAACCTTAAGTGATCCTCCGCATCAATCTGGTCCTACTCGCTGTGAAAAACTTTAGTCATTTTTATTAAAGCAACATCTCTTGTTCTTTCTGGATACAATTTCTTGTTCTAGTTGTTTCGTACATTTTTTCATCAATCTCAAATCTTAACCTGTGAAAGAGCAAGACCATCAAGGAAGACCATTGAAAACGGGGCGGAAATCTATTTGTATTTCGGAAGTTCTTCGATCCTGCTGGTGCTGCTTGCGCAGTAGAAGCTATAATATATATAAGAAAGAGCTCAGTTATCTTCTTCGGCTCTTCTACTTCTAGGCTCTCTCTTTTCACATGGAACGAGAACGCGAACTTGTTGGGATTCGGGATTGTAGAGCGTGAACGTATAAGCGTCGCCCTGGCTGATCTTTCCTCCAATCTCCATGAAGAGCCATAACCTATCGTCGAAGCGAATTCCTGGGAAGCTACCTCCCGCTTCATCGAGTTTGATCTCGTCTTCGTCTTCCTTGCGATTGCAGTATTTTTTGACGCTTGTAATGTATTGCTTCTGCTGCTCCGGAGTTAGCGGGGTCGACGAAATAAGAGGCAGCTAGTGTTGATAGGTTTGAAAAGAGACACTGTTTTCCAGCATCTAGAAGATGAACTGAGTTTAATGTGAATCCTAATGTTCTTTTCGGAGCTACGCCGGCTGCAATTGAAAAACTTATACTTAATTAAAAACAGCTACAGGGACGAACATCAAGAGCATTCGAGTCTGATGCGCGACACTGATTAGAAAGTACCTCCTCTTGCTTTTGTTTGTCGCGTGTATTCACCTGAATGCATCGCAGGGCAGGCAGTGCTCCACTTTCCGTGCCGGCCCGACGAATGAAACGGAACGTGCGTGGATATCCGGGACCCCCGTCCTCAAGCAGGCACATCGGAACCTCGTCGGCATTTTTCTCGGTGAGATAGTACTCCAAATTTTTCTTAGAAGTCTCTATTTGTATTTGGATTTGTAGTCCATCTACGAAGCTATAGCGAGCACGGTCCCTAAGCACTCTACTAGCTTTCCCAAGAGGCTCTTGGCAAGAGCCCAGTGTGTAAGTATTTCTAGAAGTGCAGCTTCCTTGTTCCGAGATATTTAAATACTTATTTGCAAAAGGAAATTACCGAAGAAATGGCGCTGCTGGATGTGTCTACCATTGCCTTAACTTTCCATGCAAAATCGGATGAGTCACCTCCGAATACGTGGTCCTTCTCAAACGGTGCAAACCACTCCTTTACTGTCTCTTTACGGCGGCGAACCGACTCAATATGCGTAAGAAAGATGCCCTTCCTGGAACCTGATGGGATGAAAGAACAAGAACAAGATGAAACACAATTTTGAAATAGGATCGCATTTGATGACAATAAAAAACAAAAAATAAGAAATCAGTACTCATCTTCCATTACTCCTTCGCTGCAGCAACAAAGTCGTGGAAAAATAAGTCACAACATAGATGAAGTGTGAAATTGAAAGATCATTAATCCTGGTGATGAAGAAAAATCAAAGTAGGAACGTCGACGAACTCGAAGCCACGTTGATGCGATATGAGTAATTGTTGTAAGTAATAATTAGTATAGCTTCATCTAAATCTATTGGATCTCTACCACCACGAGAATCGGGCGCTTCCTCGTCGCCTTTTGCTCTGTAGACAAAAGTTGCAGAGCATTCGGGTTTTTTTCCAGATGAATCCTTGCCACCTTTCCCTTTGTAGCCGGATGAAGTGGTTGCCCACCAAGACGAAGATTGATCTTCCTTGGACTTGCCTTTGCAGCTGTAGGAATTCCCGCCCTTCCCCTTGTAGTCTCCTTTTTCCTGAATGTCCCTGGAGGAGGAGGACGACCCGATATAGTTCTTGTTGTAGTTGTATGAATTGTCAAGTATTTTGCCTTTGCTGTTGCGGGATCCTTTTCCTTGATGCTGATCATTCGCATTGTACCTGCTGGCACCATTGCCAGTCGACCAAGAAGAGGACGGCTCCTGTTCAGTCGTCCACGATTCGTTGTATGTGTTGTTTGCTGTCGAGCTCGGCGCTTTGCCAGAGCAAGGAACGTGGTTCCTTCCTGTGCGGTCCCCAGTTTGCTCTTGCTGATTCGGAGTACTACTACTATTGTAGACAGCATTTTCATGCTGGGTGTTCCAAAACGACCAATCCGGTTCCTTGACCATGAAGAAATCACTCTTCACGTTGTCGCGACTGTGTTTCCCTTGAGCGCGAACGAAGACACGACTCGAACCGGAGCCCTCATTTCCTCGCTCGTTTCCGGTTTCGACGTACACCTCAAAGCGCTTTTCTCGACCCTTGACGTCGTAGCGCTCTAGCATCCGCAACAGGGGCAGAGAGCACGGCTTTGCCTCGAAATCAGGAAGGGCGGACATTTCGGCAAAGCCGTAATCGTCAACTTCTGCCTTACGATAGCCACGAGTCTTGCGATCCTGGGATAAACCGAGAGATATAAAAACAAGATAGCGCCCGCTGCTAGATAATTCAGTAATTTTGATCTACTCTGGTCATGAGGTATTCAAGAAAAAGTGAAGGGCATCTTAGTTGTCTTTTCATAAAAAACAGTGCCAATTTACTATTCCCCGGTGAGGATGGGGAATCGCTAAACCTTCGAAGCAAAGACAAAGACAAAGAGCGCGCGGAGTTATAAACATATCTTAAGAGGTGGTAGAACCAATCACAAGTGAAGCATCATTATCTTAGTTAAGAGTACCGGATGGCGCAACAGTGAAACCAATTTCCTTCCGTAGTTTTGGTGCGCCCAGTCGAATTCTTGTTCTTCCTCCTCCTCTGCGTATACATTGTTGTTAGCTGCACCTGTTGCGGACGAGGCTCCCATTGGAGTAGAGGAGTAGGTGCTTGCTGGTGAGTGTGCGTGTGCATCCATCTTGGGGTGTGGGTCACTGGCTCTCTGCGATGTGTCAGATTGAGGGCGGGTTCCACTGCTACTTGGGCCATTGTTCGCGCCGCTGTAGTCGTTCTCCCGGTGCGTCCCACGGTTGTTATTGTTTGTCGAGGTACTGTTGCTGTCGTTCTGGTGACCTGCAGACGACCTGGACACATCAGCACCAGCACCGTTACCACCACCGCCGCTGAAGGTTGGCGCAGCAGGAGTAGACGAGTCGTCCTTCGAATTGGAGTCCCAATTTTTGTTCCACTCAGCCCACCCCCACTCCTCATCGGTCCAATTCTTCCGTGATTGGTTATTGTCGCGCCAATTCTTCCTCTTCCATTCTTGGTCGTTGTCCCAGTTCTGCGACTGGGACTGCCAACCTCCTCGGTTGTGGTCGTTGTAAGTCGGCATCTTGTTAGTTCGTCGTCCAAAAATAGAAGTTTGAGATTGAGTATTCGTATTCAGTCTTTCACCAGTCAATCACAAACCTGTCCAAAAAGGTAACCAAAAGTTATCGGGATAACGACAATTTGAATGGTGCTCTTGATGTAGTTGATCCTCTTGTTTTTAATAAACTTCTACATTTTTTCTTCCTTTAATTCGCTTGTGCTTATCTAGTCTCCTGAGTCTTACTTTCCAATAGTATCGTCGATTTTGAATCTCTATTGCGTTTGACGAACTCAAAAATAGAGGTGATTTTCGAGAGAAAGAATTTCTGTTTTTATTTGGGGGACGACTACAAGGCAATTTTTGCGACATAAAAATCATAACCAAGAATCATGGCTTGAGCAAAAGTAAACCAAGTAGAAGCGGGTGTATGGTCTTTGATGTAAGAAATCGTACTAAGAGCCGATAAAAATTTTCTTCATTCAACAATATGGCATATGCGAATAGAAAGCATGCTGAATAAATGTGTAAGTAGTCATCCTCATCCACCTCCTACACAAAATGCCGATTGCCTTTCTCGTTCTGGAATGCGAGTGCACTGTCGGAGTCGGACAGAGTTAAAGCTCATACCAACACACAAGCATGATGACTTGGAACCTTAGATGGATACTGCTCAAGTTGATTCGACCCATCGCATGTTGCTCTGCACTACGGCACACACTTGTTTGTGCCGTGCGCGACGTCGTCGTAACAGTTGTAGGTAGCAGAGGTAGTACCACAATAGTCGTACTGACGAACTTTGAGCTTTCATCATGCTCGACAAGACATTGCCTGGCCTGTAGGTCTACCGAACCGCCCGAAAAGACCATCATAGTTTTTGACAGACAGACGTTACGGTTACTGTCGGATGTCTGTTTGCGGTTGCTTTGCAATCATCGGACGGGTTTTCAGCCTTCATTTCGATCGAAGCGACCAATTAAGTACATTTAAGGTGTAACACCAAAAGTGTGTCTGTCGACGTTTACTTTCTCCTGAAGAAGAACATGTTGTTCTTCTTTCGTCGTGTTTGAAACGACTTCTACGACATCATGGAATTTTGAACGGTGACATCCTAAATCTTTAGATCATATGGAATCAAGTTGTACGGTGATGATCACATTCAGCGCTGGTAGTATTGGGGGCTCGCTCGGGTGAGCGTTCAATGAATCAATGACATCAAGGGGATCGATAAATAGTGAGGCTACGACGTGGGTCTCCTCCTCCTGGACTTGGAAATGGGAAGTATGCAGTACTTTATCTTTAGTTCGCAGTCTTCAAAATCAAAAATGCGCGCACGAGGCCTGCACCAAGTGCTTGACAGGTACAGCTACAGGCTGTCAAGTGTATCACAGGTACAATTAGATCAGTACTACCGCTGTCAGCGATGCACTGCTTACTTCCTATATTTTCTTCGTTCCTGCTGCTTCTCCAGACTTTGGAAGATCCCTTGCAAAGCACGGATTTTCTGCACGATGTGTAGTCTTGCGTTTTCTTGCGGCGACTGCCCATGCATTGGTAGTCCAGAGACATTTGTAGTTTTCCTGTGAACGATTGGAAGAAGCTGGCGAATCGTATCAAGATGCGCTTCCAAGTAAGGAGCCTGCTGTGGCATGCTTCTCTCTATCTGAGCCAATTCATCGCTCAGGAGACGGCTGAAGGCAGGGTAGCGGGGCATCGAGTTCAGGGTACAACCTAGTGATGATGCTGAGCTTGTAGAAGCCAAAGTCGATGCGGTGTTCTTCGCAAATTCAGTGGCAAAAGCATCGACCGCCTCCCTACCGCTTTTACCCAAATTTGCAACGTCAGATATTTTGTCGTTGCCACTAGCAAGAAAAGATCGATTTCCTTCAACTACATCGGACTTCGGGGCGGGTGACGGTAAGCCATGTTCGCGAATGAAGCGGTCGATCCCAGATCTGCGTCTCTGTGGCCCATTTCGTAACAAGTCGTTCCATCTATCTGCTGCCGGACTTGGCGTCCCTCTGGTGTTTGACAATGCAGTTTCTTGACCGTGGAAGAGCGGGTTCCCAGTAGCTGCCTCCTCATGGAACTTCTGGCGTTTTAGTTTTTCTGAAGTTATCTCTTCCTCATAAAACAAAAGTGGATCGAGAGCCACGCCCCCCACTCTCTTCAATTCCCGATCTGAATATAATTCTAGACGAGCCTGGTTGGATAATTCTGAGCAGGTGTTCGAATTGACCACGATGTCGTTGGAGTCCGCCGTTGACGTGGCCTCCGATTGTTGTCGTTTGAGGCTTGCTTTCGGAGCAGCAGATGAAGTGGTCTTCATCCACGATTTCAACGGTTCAGGAGATGCTAAATTGCTTTCTTGGTCTTGCTCATCTTTTGATGACACTACTTTCACACCATCGCTACTCGTGCACCAGCTCCACGTGGTTGATGACTTTGGAATAGGAGGCGGCGCTGACCGGGAAAGTTGAATGTTATCGTCCTCTGCATCTAGTTGACGAGCATCAATATTTTTACCCATACCAGCCTGCAAACGCTCAACCCGCTTGACTTCCTCTTCGACCATGGCCTCCATCACACGACCGCCGAGGAGGAGTAGGTCGTCTTTGTATGCGGGATCTTCGTCATCTGGAGTAGCGCATTCCGTGCTGTCGAGGTGGCGGCAGTGAAAGGGGCTGATGTCCTTAGCCCTTTCAAAACATTTTCGCGACAAGAGTCGCCACTGATTGCACTTATCACAGCCAACCCATGTAGCCGATTCGCCCTCCTCATCAGCACACGCACCACCCCGAAGTAAGGCGAGCGCAAAATTACGATTTTTGAGCGCACGATCCGAGTCCATTTTCATTTACATTTCTTTGTCCAATAATTCCTCAACTCAAAGAACCAGCTCGGTACTGGTGCAGCCGAATAGTGCTTTAAATTACCACATCTTTATCAACTTTATCTTTATTGAGGTACTTTTACAGTCAAACAGGTATCCAGCTCTTGTGAGATGAAGTATCAGGGGGCGAAATAATTTCCTTTGCGTACGATGAATAGTCAACATTGAGGCGGAATTATTTTTGAACTGTGAAAGCCAATCGCTGCGTGTTAGTGACTATTTGATGTTTTGATTTTATTGAAGTTAGAAGTTTCTAATGCTGCTTTTGCAGGGAGTCTTAGAAGGCGCAATCCCTCCAGTGTTGACTCTAATGTCATGATGGAGGAAGAGTTCAGGAGGACATCAGCTCATTAAGTGTGAAGCTGTCAAGACCATTCGGTGTCCGTCACGGAAGAAATTTTAGCTGATTGCGTAGCAGGAACGCATTTTTCGGTTTCGTATGCCTTCTCAATACACAAGAACCCCATCGCTTGACTTCGAAGCGCGCTGTGTTGCTGTTGGGAGCGTCGTCGTGCTTTCAGATCATGGACGAGGAATGACGGTGTGAACCTTGCTCGTTTACAAGTCGCCATATCTTAAAGGTTGAAACAATTCATATTTGCCCTACATATTTGACACGTTTCTTCTTGAAATGTGCCAAATCATGCGTACAAATATGAAATGTTTCAATTCTTAAATATCAGCATCACCTTGCGTCGCAGACTACATCAACACTTTTTATTTTTTTCCAATGCATTCATCCTCGCTTTCATCGGATTCGGACAGACGACGAAGGGCCCGTCGATCATCATCATGGTGCCCCATTTAGTACTACTAGTACTAGCCTAATAGCGGGACAAAACAGTTCCAGCAGTGTGTCAAAAAATGACTGTTCTCCCGTTGACACAAAATCAAGTCAAGCAATCATATGCTCATGCGGATATATGACATCAAGCAGGTGACCCTGGTCGTGGCAATAAACGAGGATTTCGTGCACACACTGGCTTAGTAAGTTAGTATAGAGATTATCTTCTTGATACAAGATATAGGATACAAGCAAGGGAAAACGATATTCATTATCCTTCCAGCGCTCACTACGATTACCAAAAACGAACGAAGGATAGAGATAGAGATAGAAGTAGTCGATTACTCAAGGATAGAGATATCACTGGTATTTATACATCGAAGTAGTCGATTACTCATCGGAAACGCTGAAGGCCGAATTTGGAAAATGGCAGGAAAGCGAAAGGACAGCACTGGTGATAAGGTAAACGGGGATCAGTAGTTCTCACAAAGAGTAAGACAGAGAAACTACGGAGCACCAGCCAAAATGAAAGAAAATCAGAAAAGCAGAGAAGGGAATGTGGTTCAGGATTTGGGTGTGTGGCTAAGGACTTGGGTGTTTAGTCTAGGGTGGAAGAAGAAGCACAGGGGACATGAAGACTCAATATCCATCGACGTAAGTTCGGAGTTAAAAAGAAGCAAAGTCTACGAGGATCGCTTGTTGCGCAATAAGAATAAAGCATGATACATATACTTATACAAAGCTATCTAGATCTACTCTCATGTCATTTATCATGTCACCTATGTCGCACCTGCAGGATGGATGCGACGTGGTATTAAGTGGCACTGTTCTTTTACCTCCGGGAGCTCGAAAGATGCGCAATTCAACTTTAAGAAAATGAAAAGTAACGCAAACTCAACATGAACAAGTCTTGTACTGATTTTCAAGATGATCTTACTAATATTAGCGACGAAAGGGGCTATGACCATGGGGATTTTGATTGACTGGCATCCCTAGTCGTACCCCTCGCCGTCATCAATCCTAAAAAAATCCAAAAATGCTAATCAATGCTTCAAATTTTTTGATCATTAATGTTAGATTTTAGTCATGTAAGCATCATCATCATCTCTGCTGGTACTGGTCGCGGACGCGGTACATCGATAGTGTATTCACCCGTCCTCGTTTGCGAAGCTGCTGCTCACGAGCCTCGAAAGCGCAACAGAGTCATAATATGAGCAAAGCTACCCATACGCCTACCGTTGCAACTAACTCTCGTCATCTGATGTTAGGGCCTAACCCGGAATAATAGAGAACCATCCTCCACGTCCACTAGCAGAACCACTCTACTACGGCGAGCGAGCCTCTAGTACTACTTGTCCTATTTTCATGAGGCGCATTCGAGGCTCTATGTGTACGGGGAATTTAGACCGAAGCGGAGGGGGGAAGTCGGAATCAATTTGCTGACTGCTGCATCTACATTTTGGGCAAAGAGGCTTCTCGCCAACGCAAGCAAAAAAGCGAACGCATCGCATTGAGTTCGAGCGCCTTTGAGCGACGCGCTAGGTGCTTCCAGTGTCTTTACTCCTGCACAGCTAAGAATGGGCTGAAACCTGCCATGGCTGCAGACGCAGAGTGGAAGCGTATCACTGCAGACGCAGAGTACCATCGGCCTCCTTAACTCGTGTTTTTGAGCCCTCAACGTCCTTGTACTTCAGGAGCACTGGAGGCCCTCGAAAATATTGCAGCATATTCCGAATTAGCTCAGGGTCCATCGAACTCTCTGTGATGAAATAGCGAGTGTGATGAAAATTCATTGATGATTAGTACCAGAACGTTGATGTAAATACACAATGCGTGACATTCTTCGTCGTCAGCAGTGGTGTTTTTTAGCAAAGACATGAAATTGGCGTTGATGATGAGAAAGAGCATGCATACTTCCTTGTGCTTTGAGCACCAAAGCGCATCGATAATATACATATACTTGTTGTGCAAGGAAGTGCACTGAGAAAGATAATAAGGCGTCTCTTATAATTCGTATTCTCTGTCGTGATGTCGCGAAATAGAGTTCATTCAAATAGATCTAGATAAAGTACTCTTCGGCGGATCTGGAAAGATGAAGTCCCGATACTCGTCTACTTGCACTACGTTGCCAACGCGCCAATCCCACACACCGCGACATTCCTCCCGGTGATGGCCAATCTTGACGGACATGCCATTGCTCTCCGTTCGAAATTTACGAATGTCTTTCGACAGTTTCGCGTGGAGCTTGCTCACCTTGCTTTCCGGCTCTACCGTGGCAGCGCCTTTGCGCATGTTCCCAGGCTGATTCTCACGTGGAGTAGGTCCGCCAGAGTTCGCAGGAAGCATGAAAGTTGAGACGTCCTTCGCAAGACGAACTGGGATGGCAGTTTTATCCTAAACCCAAAAGTTTAGCTAATATATTAATAAATACTATATGGAAATCAATCTCAATAACACACACTGAGCCGCCTATTTCTGCTACGACAAGAAGAAATGAATTTTGAGAGGCGACCATTTCCATTCGGAAATTATCAGAAAGTAGACCAATAGGTGCTGATGTTTTTTTCGTTCAGTTTGGTCATCCTCATCTTCAACTCTAGACTTAAAAAGATAAAGAGTTGACCTAAAAAATAGCGAAGTTGGCTATGAGTACGGGATGAATAATTTAGATTTTGTGAATAATTTGAAATTTGTTGAATTTCAGGAATAGTCTTTCTACTGGGAAGATCCTATTCCGATCATTTAGTCTTCCTTTCAATGACTCTTACTGTAAGTGTTGTTACTGTCTGTAGGTGTGCAACTTGATGTCATAAGCGTAGCCTGAATTTCTCTGCAAATAATGTAGATCGGGCGCACGTTTGCGGACTTGCCCAGCTCAATTACTTTTCTCACTGCATAAGTCTGCAAACAATACAGCCGTCTGTTGTCGAAGGTAAACCACTTTTCGTCATGAAGCTGGCTAGCCTTTCCCCAAACGGAGGAAAACTGAATTTCTTCGCCGTCGTCACTCGCAGCAGCGGACCACGCATCTTTTGTGTTAAATTCAAGTTCTATACGTGGATGCGTCAGGCTATGAGGTAAGACGTAATTTCCTTTTCGTTATTCTTATTTGGTAGTCGTCATGAACTTGAACATGATATATCGACACGAAATCCGTGATCGGAAATTGTTACGACCCTCTTGCCTGTAATCCTAAATTTGAAAGCTGCACACTTCATGAGAACTCAAAAAGCTACTGCATACCTTGATCTCCCCCTTTTGCTTCACGTTTTTTTGCCCGCCACCGCACTACATCAATCACAGGAAAGGGCTGCTCCAACAAGAGGTATTGGCTTGACCGATCTTCAGTCACGCGAATTTCCTCGATGCTGGAGTCTACAGAACGGCCATCTTGGAATTCAGGTGCTAAGCGCGACTGGGAAAAGCCAATCTCCAGAGGGCACAGAAGAAGAAAGCGCTCCCTCTCTTCTCGGTCTACCGATTTCGACTCGTGGTGCAAAGACCCGAACTGCGTTGCGCCCGGCAGTTCATGTTGCGCGATATTTGTAGCTTCTCCCTCCTGGTTGCCGCGTTTGCTACTAGAAGTATGGTGACTGCGATCGTGCGCACTCTGTTCACGTTCTGGCCCATCATCCATTTCCCCCTCTAATTTGAAGTCGTCAACGTCATTCATCTCATCGTCTGCGTAATCCATGAAATCGTCATCGCAGTCACGGTAATTGTTGGCTGGCCCGCGGGTTCTAGGTGGATCATCGCAGTGGTCGTTTTCACCAACTCGCCTTGTTCGGTCCTCTCGAATTCGATCGTAGTTGTCCTCGTGATCGTCATGATAATTGTCGTTGTCGCCTCGGTCATTCTGCCATCTATGATCCAGTGTGGGCATAAAACGGTCGTATTCATTTTCCTCGTTTGGGACATTATCGTAGTGATGATGTCGCTCGTCGCGTTGGTCCAGCTGACGGCCGTCTCGCGGATCTGCAGTCTGAAAATATCGATTCCTTTCTTCATCATGATGATGTGCAGGTAGGTGGTCACGTGTTTGAGCTTGACCCAGTTTTTTAATATGGTTACTCTTCCCATTCCCTGCTGGAGGGACGGTATCAACCGAGGAACAATCCTCATCCTGCCGAGTTGTGTAACCTGAACTTATGGCATCCCTTTGCCCGTGATCCAAGTATCGGTTGCGCGGCGGTAAGTCGGGATCCGCCATGTCTCGCTCTCGAGCATACGGCTCCTTTGACCGTCGTTGTGGAGGACTGTCGCGTGGAGGCCTTGAGGAGCAAGTACTAACGGTTGTGTGCTGGTACCTCTCGTTGACGAGTTGGTAGTCGCCAGATTCCTTAGATGAGTTTCCTCGACGCTCATCGCGCGTATCATAGTAGGAAGCTTGACCATGATGACCACCGCAATCAAGTTGATGTTGTTCATCTTCAACATCCTGGTCCTGGTTATAGTTATAGTTCCGCTGAGGACGACGACGACCACTTTCGACATCTCTCGAAGAAGTCGCACTATGGTAAACGTGAAGCACATTATTTTTGTAATCTTCTTCCAAGTCCTGCTCTATTCGTCTCCCTAGGCCATTTGCGTTGCTTGGGTGAGCGTGGTCAACATCGTCTCGGCGACTGCTCCGGTTTGCGCTACAAGATCCTTCGTCACGATAATTTCGCCCAGGAACAGAATTCCCACATGGCGGAGACATATTCGGAGGGCCATGATCTGCTTGCCAGTTTGTCGTGGTACAACTACTATGTCCTCTACAATGTTGGGACGCACTGGTGCTTTGCTGTCCTGAGGGCGGACCAGTTTGGACATCGTCGAAACGACTACGCGTTCGTGGCAGCTCCTGAGGGGGTGTCCTACAACTACCGCTACTGGATGCACTCGGCCGGTCACGGTGTCGTCTACGTGCATCATGATGCCGGTCTTCTCGCGGCCCGCCATAGATGGACGCTGTTGTGGAAGACGCAGAGGTCGAAGGACGTTGCTCTTGCTCAATATGGTTAGATTGCCTACTATGCATTGCCTTGCTCGTACTCTGTATTGCCTTGCTCGAGAGACCTTGCCCGAGATACACATCATGGCTGCCATTGCTTCGAGTTCGAGAAAGATGTGGTGGCTCGTTGGATTCGTCATCGACGCGATCATAATTGTCCGGCTTTTGTTGACGATCTGTTCTCCTCGAGGAGCTACCGCCTCTCGCATCGCGGTTCCTTATCCCTTGGTCTCTACGATCACCTCCATTGTGTTTCCCAGGAGAATGCTGATAATTGTGTTTCTTCTCCCATGATGCGGGGCCGTCTGATTTCTCTATCACTGGGTCGCCACGCCGATCGTACCCTGTTTTTTCATACCCTTCTTCATGATAGTTTTCGTGGTTCTGGTTGGTAGTGCCACTACTTGTTTGCCTGTCGTCTCGATGAAATCGATCATAAGTTGAACTTGAAGATGCTGTCGTCGTCTTATAACTACTCGTTCGTTGGTGCTCTTCAATGTCGGAAAAACGTGACTTGCCGCTCGTCTTGATACTATTACTTGTGTTACCTGTTGTCGTCGTCGTTGAGGACGTGCTTCCGTTTTTATGAAGACTTCCAGACGAGCTTGCGGCCCATCTCGAGGAGCTACTTGAAGAGGCGGCGTCATTAAGATTAACACGTCCAAGCCCATTGCTACTACTAGTATTACTACCACTATTGATATGAGTTTTTACAACGGCCACATTATTCCGACCGCCGCCGCGATGCACACTGCCCACCATTTTGTGAAAAACGTTTGCGTTCCTCCTTGTAACTGAGATTTTTGCGCGATTGTACTCGTCGGTCGGTTCTTCTTTTCCAGCGTTGTAACGGGCGCTACTACCAACAGGCTTCTTGATCTTATCTTCGTGCACGGAACCTCTAATGTCCTCTGCTTATGTGCTCCCTGGACTCCGCCAGATGCGCAACGTGAAAGCCATTATTAGATATTAGTGCTAGGTCAGGGACAGGGTGGGGTTTCGCTTCCCTGGACTGGTAGCGCCTTCAGAAACACGAAAACCGCTTGAAAAGGAGAGCGCGACGCAGATCATGACGAAGCTGGTTCGCTGACAAGAACGTAGCTACATCTTCTACTTCGTCCGTATAGATAATTCACAACGTTCACAGAGAAACAACCGAGGCGGAGGCACTTGTCACCTACTAAATCACATCGGTAAGAATGCGTATGTGTAGGAAGAGAATCAGCACCACGCGCCACGCGGCTACAAAGATTGTAAAAAAGTCGCTTACAATCTTAGAATAGCCATGCCGGTTCAGGTTCACGTCCTAATCGTATCGGATTTCAAGAAAATCAACGACAGAGACACCACACTGATTCTTCAAAAAAAAGGAATGAAGCATATCACAACGAGTACTCTGGCGCTTCAAATGAACAACAAAAGTAAATCCTAGTCGTGTGTTGAAGTACAACTTCTTACTTCTACAACTACAAGTAATCACTAAGATACGCTTACGCCTAGGCCTGCCAAATCTACTAGAATCCAGAAAGGACTCCAGAGAACGAAAAGCAATTACGGGTTAGCTAGACTGAGGATACGAATTTCTGCATATTAGGTAGAAGTATGTGTATGACCTCATCAACACCATTAAGTCGATCAGGGTATTGCTGCAATTCTTGCGACAGCATCTTATTTATTGACCCACCTGCCAATCATGATGATATATTCGAAGAAGAATGTCCTCTTCAGGCCAAAAATTGTGATATTATGCTTGGATAGCGCAAGACGTGCACGCAGATCCATCGGGGCAGCAACACCTTCCCTCGAAAAAGACCTTCCGCACAAAAAGAAGCGCGGAAGACCTTGAAATTTTGAGAACTTGTCCATGCCCTCACTTACTTCAGTCCTCGGAAAAAAGAGCTTATTAAAAATTTGAGACGAGGAACAGGACGCCGTGTATCAATGTAGTATTGGAATTGCTCTTGATGTGCAGGGTTGATATCGCAGCCGTTTCGAGACTGACTCTCAAGTCGAGCTGTCAGATTTAGATAATTTAGATTTGGAGTACCGCAAGCGATGTCACACTTCAAGTCGAGCTGTCAGTATCGCAAGCGATGTCACACTTCAAGATCAGCATTATCAGGAAATGAATCAGTTTTGCATTGTACTACGGCTTCCATGAGTATGGTCTTCATCGGAAAAGCCGTTGTCTCATCTATGATCGAGTCAATTGATCGTAGAATAGTCGGCCGGGAAGAGCGCCTGCTCTATGTCTATTCGGCACTCAGATTTTCTTTGTAGTTCATTTGACTATGCTTATACATCATCAGAGTCTCGTCAACATGACCATCTAATAATGAACTCAGCTATGTTCAGAAACCCCAATCCAGAAAGAGACCCCTAGGTAGCGCTGTTTGAAATATGATTATCCAACCCAGAAAATGAAGAAGAAGACCACTCAAAAAATTAGCCTTAGCTTACTAGACGCAACAAGTTCTAGAAAATGTTGTGGGAAGAGAAGTGGTTGTCTATCAACGCTTACAGCAGCTTCGATAATAATGAACAGCTCACTGCTGGTGCTGTTTATTTTCCTCAACGAACTACTGATAAAGCAACGCAAAACATCCTCCAACGACATCAACTATGTGTCGTGCGTCTGCGTGTATATTCAAAAAATTATTGAATACCTATACCTCCGACTCCCCTATCTATAATTACATAAGTGATGCATTGAGCTAAAGCCGACTGCTCTTCGTCCCATGAAGAACACTTTGATTTTCCGTAAAAGTTGTAGCAGAAGATGGTATTTGTTCTTCTGCCCGCTCTGCGCTTTCGCGCTCGACGTCGGCGGTAACTTTTTCTAGAAAATTGACAAGTGTCGTGATCGGCACATCCTCCATCGACAGCGTTGGGGTGCGCATGCCTCCATGACAATCCAGCGTTCCGACCGATAGAGGATTTTTGTTCCGCTGAAGGATTTCAGGCGGGGGACCGGTACAACGAGGAATCTGGCTTCCAGACGATAGGCCTGCTTTTGACGCACTAGAGGAGGACATCGTGGAATTCGATGATAGTGCTATCACGAGTTCAGGATTTTTGGACGCGCCACCGTCGGTCGAGCCAGCTGACGAAGCGCTAAATGATGCAGTCAATCCTGCGGCAGAAGCAGAACTACTGTTTACCTGTTGAGGTGGACGAGCATCCCCATCCGTAGTATTTGTACCTCCCTTGTTGACTGCTACCTCCCCCCTTGTCGGAGAAAGAGGAGAGCCGCCCCTTGACCGAATGATCTCGGCCGCCTGCTCTTTTTCTTCTGCCTCACGCGCCTTCGATGAGGCAGCTTGCAATGACGACAGTACAGGATCCACTATCGCTGCCGAAGAGGAGCTGTTAGTCAGCATTTTCTTGACACCAAGTCCAGTTTCAGCGTCGTAGAGTTGCTTTGTTAGCGCTAGTCATGATGCATGATAGTAGCTGGAGTGTATCGTGCATTCAATTTCAGTGAAACCAAGTCACAATCACATTCACAAAAACTCTTCCTGTTACTGTTACTGTAACTGGATCAGTTCTCCCATCTAGTATTTCGAAAGAAAGACTGAGTGACCTAATTTTTTGATGTCATAACTTGACTTCATCAAACAGCTCGCGCAGCGTTAGACAGTGCGAACTACAGCTCTGTTGCCGAAATTCCAGGTGGCGAACGAGCTGCTCTACATATAGAGACGCAAAGCTCCCAAGCGCTGGCTCATACAATCCAGAAGTCACCATTACTAGCAGTGGCCAGCTTGGCGTGTCGAAGTACCGCTGATACGATTTTAGTGTAAAGAAATTCGCAAAACCGCCGGAAAGACAAAACTGATATAAGGTTACCACCTGACTATCAGGACTGCGCGCCGTTAAGTCATGGAAAGCTTGGAAAAGCTGCTGCGAGTATAACCGAAAACGATATTTGGGTGCTCCCCAGTCGACCGATGCGCGTCTCCGCGGTCCTCCATTTGTTGGTGGGCGACATTGTTCAGAGCGAGATCCCGATCCGGATGAGCCGCCCTCTTGTTCCTGCTTGGTCCTCGAGCCACTGCGTGCATTGGGAGAGGAGGAACCTTGTCGTGTACGGCGTTGGGAAATCGGTAGCGCAACTACCGAAGCAGCCTTAGAAGAGCCCGCAGAACCAGTCGAGAATGTTGGCTTAGTTTGAGCCTTCTCATCTCCTTCTGCTCTCGTGTGGCCTTGACCCAGAGCTTGTTGATCTTCTCTGCTGCTGCCTACCTGGTCCGTTGTAAGTGTAGTGCGCGTTTGATCATTGACACCAGGTGGTACAGCCGCTGCGGTAGTTATGACAGGAGTTCCACTCGTAGTCATAGCTGATAGCGGCTCGCTGATGCTCTTCTCATCACCTGCACTCGCACTCACCCTGCCAACTGGATTGACGGCACTGCTGCTGACCGCTTCAGTACTGTTAGGCACCTTTGTGAGTGTAGTTTCGTCAAAGGTTTTCTTCAGATGTACTGAAAGCAAAGTATCCGACGTCGATTGGGATTGCCCTACACTTTGTGGTGCGAAGGTTGTTGTATTTACATCCATTGACTGTGTCGCTGCCTCCTTGGGTAGAGACATGTTCCGATTTCGAATGTTGTTAGACGAAGCTGCTCCCGGCGCAGCTGCGTCTCCATCGAATGACGCCTTTCTTCTCAATGCTGTCGCTGTGCCTGTTGAGTTTTTCGAAGAAGAGTTCTGAACTACCGTGACGTCTCCTGTGGCATCCGATATCAAAATTCCGTCAAGATCGTAACCACTCCGATTGCGCGGTATCTCAGGCAATGACGAAGGTGACGGGTTACCGGAAGAGCAAGTATCCGGAGAAGCCTTCCGATACCGCTTTATCAAGCTCGAAGCTGCTTCTACATGATGATCTTGATGATCTTCATTTTTCTCCTTGTCAGAAAAAGCTTCTTCTGCATTCGAGGTAGTATTCCTAAACGATTGCTGTCCTTGTTGTCGCGATGTTGAGGCTGCGTGTTGAGGACCGTCGCCCTTGAGGTCTGGAAATGGTTCTTGATTTTGTTCGCTTCGTGGTATCGAACTAGCATGTTTGTTTGTTGAAGAACTATCAGCAGAGTGCGAAACTTCGTGGTGGGGAGGAGTTTCTTGAATACTGATTACGAACTCAACGCCTCCGCGAGATGCTGCTGGCTTTTCATCCGTTAACGTCATGTTCGTTGTGGCGCAGGCACTGTCAACCTCATCTCCAGTCCTAGCTGCATCCGCTAAACTTGTTATCTCTGTTTCTGTACTGCGAAGATCCGCAAGACCAAAGAGGCCGGAACTTGGTTCTTCATTAGCAGTCGACGTTCTAGGAGACACGATTTTCTGAAATGGATCCCCGCGGGGCGAAGGACTACGTGACGATGAAGCTCCGGGAAGAGTTCCAGCACCTCCTACTTGGTTCGCCGCTCTATTGTCCTTGTTGGTGCTAGAAGACTGCACTCCACCTCCAAAGGGATGATCTTCTGTGTCTGCTACAGCTTCACTACCAAAACCACTTTCGCGCGCACTCGCGGCACCCTCTTCATCTACGAAGCCCTGCGTTGCAGCCACAGAGTAGATATGATCTACTTCGGGGGGTGTAGGATAAGGGAAGTGGCAATACCACTCATCCCATGCGTTTTCGCCTCGTACTGCTGGATGGCTGTTGCCGTGCGTATTGATGAGCAGAAAAATTGATCCAGGATTCGGCGGCAAAGATTTTGGATGCTGGCGATTCCGCTTTGTCCCCGCAGAAGCGGGAAACTTCACAGATGAAGACGAAGATGTTGTGGAGCTTGATGGTGCTTGGGCTGTCGGCCTGGCATTCGCAGACGACGAGGAGGCCGACGACGATAGAAGCGGGCCTCGCGGAGAAGTTCCATCGCAAGAACCGTCAGAACTTGTTGGTCGCATTTTATGCTGGTCCTTCGCTCGTGCATCCTGGAGATCGCTCTCGGAAAGCGTTCGCTTTGACTCCGATGCTTTGGATGCGTGTCGGCCCCTAGTGCCGCGCAGAACACGCAACAGCGTCCACACATTTACATCGCTGTAGTCGAAGTCCGCGCCACCGTTGGACAATAGGGCCTGACAGTCTCTATACGTTTCCTCTTTGCGACGTTGCATGGTATTCACAAACTCAGGGTTGCTTTTGCCTGTCACTTCCTTACACCTTGCGATGGATCCAGTGACGTCTTCGAGCCACTCCAGTGTTTCCTCCAACTGCGTCAACACAATGATGCGCTCGGCTCCAAACCAGGGTAGAAGCCTTTCATACACGCGACCGACGTTCTGCAAGCTACAATGGCCACCGAGGTATTTGCCGGGCCTCGTTTTCATCGAGTCCGCAACCATCGCACCGCCATACTCAGCGCCGACCAAAACGCACCACGCTTTGCCGTCCGTTGTCCTCGTTGGGACACCTCCACTGCTTGACGAAAAGGACGGGGACGTACACGTAGCCGTAGGAGGAAATAAACCAGACGCAACTCCAGTATTCGAGAGATCAATACTAGCAGTGCTAGTGCCAGCCGCAGTTGTTGGTCCTCCGGGATTGCCAGGAGCTCGCTCCTGCGCAGGAGCTGAAGCGGGGCGACACACATCCACTGCAGGCGCCTCGCCGTGCATCGACCTGCCGCGGTCAGCATGCTCGTCACAACAATTAGCTTTATACCGAAGAACCTGTCGTAAGAAACGACGTTCGCTCTTCTCCGCGAAGTCACCCTGAGCTGCATCTATCACAGCATCGATTTCAGCGATAGCGGTCTCGGACAAAGGGAAATACATTTCAGAGAGCAGTATGTCATTATCTATACCTTCATCTACTTTGTCAAACTTTTGATGTTCCGATGGAGCGGCGTGCATCGTTGCATCGGATGACTGTATTGCACTTGCAGGTAGTTCTGTTTTAGTTTGTTCATGTTCACGTTCTGAAGCATGCAAAAAATTCCGCGCGTCTGCAAGCATTTTCGTGTTATGCCGCTCCTTCTCCATCCACGTGGGCCATGCCGCAGTGTTAGAAGATGTCCCAGATTTCTCAGCACATCTTTTCCGATGGTCTTGCTCTATTGCCTGGGCGGCTTTTAGTGCAAGAGTTGCGTCATTGCATAGCCACGGGCTATAGTCGAGCGCGCGTAATGCGAACGTCAAAGCGACACTGCTCTGGGCCTGGCTGAGGACGTCGTCGCCTGGACGCCGAAATTTCAGTGCTGCAAGTCGAAGAAAAAGATCGATACGAACGGCGTTCACTGACTGCGCCAGCCACGCTTTGATGTCCTCCTCTGGGGGTTCCAATGCAGTCAAAGTGGATGCACCTGTACTAGAATTCCCGTCTTCTTCTCCAGGTTGTGGTGTGACCAAAGCGGGATGTCCGTGAGCTGCAGCCGACAATAACCATTGCCAAACGCACTTGAGAAGCGCAACGTATACTGCGGAGACCACGTGAATTTCTGCTTGACTTTTACGGTAAATTTCTGGGAGCCCTGCTGGCGTTGGAGTCGCTCCCTCAACGCTACCCTTCATCAGCCCCTTGGCCTTGTTGTCCTTGGCAGCTCCTACCAATGACACTCCGGGAATAGTAGACGACGAAGAAGATCCGCTCTGAGCCCCACCGTTCGTAGTTTCCAACATGCCGCTTCGCTGCAAAAGCGTTTTCAACAGAGGAAGTGCACGGGGAAAGAGTATCACTTGTAACATGTCCACACAAAGTTGGCGGAATCTGCTTAGATCGCCAGATTTGGCCAGTTCCTCTGTAATAGCTTGATATCCAGGGTCCGTCGGGAAAAAGGGCAGTCCCGTGCCATGTTTACTCCGGTCATATTGGTATTTCGCAGTAACCGGATCCGAGAGTGAAATGAAGTCGATCCGTTCAACACCAGAGATAATCGGTTGAACTTCACCTTCGAGGGGCAGTTCATCATTTTCATTTTTCGCTCCAAATATGACGTCAAGGATACCCAGCTGCACATTGCCTATCTTCGTCTCATCGACCGAGTGATACCGCGTACCGGCCACGCCTTCTCTCAGGAGCTCCTTACTTGGAAAATCAGGGTGGCGGACGTCTATCAAATAGATAACGCGCGGGTCAAGGATAGAAGGCAGATATAGGAAATTTCGATCCGAAAAATCGGGGTCAGAAATGCTCAGGTCTGATCCAATACGAGGATCCGTATCACCGCCTGCATCAGGGTGTCCCACTGGCAACAGACGACATCCCGAACTGTACTCAACCGGATATTCCTTCGCGTGGAACAAAATCGCCGGAAAGTCTGCATATTCAGTTGTGTCAGCGATGTTGTCGTCACCAGTCGCAACGCCAGGGGAGAACCCGGCTCCGCTTTGCGTGATCTTGCCTTGTAGCTCCTGTGGCTCTTGAGTTCTGGACTCCAGAAGCACGTCGTGCTGGGAACCTGCCTCAGCCTCCACAAAGAGCTTGCTGTGTAACTTACCCACCACATGGCCATGAAAGAGATCGAATCGAGATATGCGAATCCGTTTTCCCGGAGGCTGCACATCCTTCTCCGCAATCGCATTAAAAAGCAGTTGTACGAAGGAAGCTGCGTCCGACGAGGACGTTTGTACAGCATAGTACTCCGCTGTATCGGGTGCCCGGTTCAGGACTGCGAACGGCCGCAACCAAGGCGGCGTCCGCTCTACAGGTGGCGGTAACAACATGCTGACCCCTCGACCTGTTGCACGCTTGGAGGCGGAACAGCAGAGAGGAGAAGACGTGGCAGTTGCAGAGATCGTGAATCGACTGCTTGACGGTCCTGCAACGTCGTGTCTTAGTCTTCCTCCCGATTTATCATGCCTTGCAGTACAAGCAGCTTTTGCAATAGGCGAGTCGGCGTTGATCGTGTGTGATCGGAGATGGAGGGCAGAGATTCGCGTGATTAGCACGACCACCACGAGAGCAGCTAGAGTTCTGGCTTTCAACGAACATGATGAACACGGAGAACGCCGACTCAAAACGTTTCTCCATATTCTATCGTTTTTCGATACCGGTGAATGGTTTTGTTCTTGTAGTCGAAGAAATGTCCTGAAGGTGACCGAGTGCTTCCTCAAGGCTTCGAGGATAGTGTCGATTTTGATTCTGCTTGAATGAAAACAGAAAAACATCAAAAATAGACATGTGATAATTCTTAGAAACAATGGCAAACCGGAATCAAACTTTCTAAAAACTCTGAACAAAAGCGTCGAAACGAAAATGTAAAAATAGATGTAAAAAAAAATTGGTAGAAGGACTAGAATCGCGAAACGACTAACTGTACTAAAACTCAAGAAACTGAACTTATTTTCAAGAAAACCTTGTTTCAGCCATGAGGCCATCGGGTTCATACACGTCTTATGCTTATCTACGACTATGAGACTCATTTTCAAAGCATAGTTCCGACTCAGTATACTCCCACGGCGAAGTCCCGCACGAAAACCGATGATAGAGCGTTCTCGCTTTTCACGTTGACTTGAGATCCTGTCTTTCTTCCTCCTACTTTGATTCTATTCGCGCATTTTGTGTCTTCTCCTTATTTGAATTCTGCGAATACGCTAAAACTAGAACATAAAACAACCAATGAGATGTCACTACAACCATGAAAATGCGAGATACCTGTCTGCACATTACCCATCATGAGGACTCTCACCTGATTCTGCAAGAAGAGGATAGAAAGCTTTGTATTCCGTCCTATTGGAATCCAGGATTCATTCAAAAATTACTCAGCTTTCAACGGAGAATATATCTTGGAAATACGTATGAGAATATTGAAGTTGCTATTGCTTAGGAATCAGAACGCCGACCTATCAGCACACACGCCATTGCATTACTTCGACTCTACCAAGAAATGATATCGCACCGATTCCCGATAAGTGCGCCCACATCGGACATTCCACTGGTGACAATTGATACAATGTTCCTGCCCGTTGACGTTGACGAGAGCAAAACTTTTTCATTGATCCCAGCCCTAAGTCTAGAGAGAAGGCAAGTAGTACTAGTAGTGCTCTGGACTGTAAAACACTGACAAGGAAGTGTATATTTTTGATCTTTCACGGTCGTATTCTTTCCCTCTGCTGCTCCTCATGTAAGCCACGGATCCATCGCTTGCTTGCTTGGACTTAGAACACAACTATACATACGCATCTGCATCACCTCCTTTCTAGTCGGAGCAGACCTCAATACATACGCGTTGCATGCCGCAGCAGCCTCGAAAAGAAAGACAAGACACCCTCGACGAAAGCTGTGGAATCCGCATCGAAGACCGAGACGGGGGGAGGAGTTCATCAAAGAGTTTCGGTTTTTTATGTCGTATTTGTCATACTTCTTTAGTTTTTGCCCTGTAGCCGTAGCATTGGTGGCAGTGACGTGACTACCAGTACCACTACCAGCATTAGCATATTAATTCATGTATAATTGATGTTGTCTAACAGTAACAAAGACCAAAACTATGATTCTGATGTTTGTCGTGGAGACTACGGACGAGCCTCCGCCTCGAACCTTTTTACTTTCGCTATATTCTACTTTTACCTAAGATCCTTCCCCAGCGGCCTAGCTCTATCACAAATAATTGGGAAAGCTCAAAAATTATCGGAATCAGAAAAGTCAATCGCTAACAAGAACATATTTTTCGACGAGCAGAAGATGAAGAGATACAACAGAAAAACGCTCCACAAAAGCTACAGACTATCCATTTTCAGGCCAGTAAACAGCTGTCGTAAGGCTCCGTCACGTCCGAATGCGAAGCGATCACAGGCAGACAATCGTCATCTCTCTCAGGAGTCACTTCATCTGTTAATGTTAGCTGAAAGAATGACTACAAAATGAAGGAAGACCATCACGACAACGATCTTCTAATTCTATATCTTTGGTTTTTGCAACTCATTCGGCTTCGAGGGTTGTCGCCGTGTGTCGATTCATCGTTCAAAATAGCGATCAGTCCTTTTCTGTTTGCGAATGACCCCAATTACGTTTTCGTTCAATTGACGAGAGGAGTCAGCAGTATCCACCTACTTACGATCTTTAGATATCTGCATCAATCATGTCTAATATCAACAGACGCACGATTACTAGAACTAATTTCGCTTCATCTTCATAATATTCAAGGAAGTTGGATATTTCTATATATAATATGGACTCGCGCATATCTATAGTATACTTCTATGTGTACGTATACTAGCAACAATAAAACATTTCTTTTCGGAGCAACAAAAATGTACACTCAGGTCTATTTCTTGTCTCCGAAAAATATAAAGGCTCAACAAAAATATTTTTCGTGGTCAATACCACGACTTAATTAGTCCTCGATAGTATCCTACACATACTCCTTATCGTTGCACCTGCTTGTCGTGCAAAAACTGATTGTAGTACAGTTGTGGACACCACATTCGCATTGCTAGCTCCACGTGAGATACAACTAATGCTTACTCGTTCCCCCGCTTCCTTTTGCGTCGACAACGATGCTCGGTCGGCTCCACTCCGGTTCCCGCGCCCAATGGCTCTTTGCATCCCAGGCTTTATTAGCTTTCACCCTAATCCATCTCGAAATGCATCCTAGGCCCCTTTTGCCCTTGAAAAGCAGATTCTTCAGGATGTCCTTCAAAAAGATGCATTAGGGGAAGCCTTAACTTTAAGGTTGATAACCGCGATCGGCAGGCACTCCAGCGTAACCAATATGGCAAACAGGAGTTTTTTCTGCTGTTCCGACAGAACTCCACAACGAACCAAAATACTCAGGATCAGCAACTGGAAGTGCGACAAGGAAACAAGGACCTGTTGTAGTCACCAGGATGGACATCGACCACATCGAGAACCAGGTTCAGGGTATTGTGCGAAAGCAAAACCTCGAATGCCTTTGCCTGCGCTCTTCACAAATAAGTCGCTTCATCATGGTTGGAGATTCGTGATCTTGTCTTCGTGTAGCAGGCAGGTTCTTCTACTTCTTGCCAGTATATTATAAAAAATATAATAATTTTCAATTTCATACGAAGTTGTAATATGATCATCGCTAACCAGACTAAAATGATGATACCTTTGCGCTCCAAAATTTCCATTTCGGCTGAAAGAGATTCAGCCAGTGCCCCATGTGCTTTTCGAATGCCACAATGTTGTAGAGAGCACCCATACTAGCAATGAGCCCAGCACCGAAAATCATATACTCCAGTCCTTCGATCAGGCTTTCTTGCTTCTCGAGAAATTCATTCACCATCTCATGCCTTTGCGCCGCTCCTCTCAAGAGCACAACAGCCATCTGAAAGCCAGCCTGCAGCGCATTCACGGCTACGAAAGTTTGCACACCTGCTTCAATGGGGTGGAGTTGTCAACTACGACAGTATCAGAATCAGTATCTATACACATTCGTATTTTTGAGATTGACATAGAGGAGGAAGACGAATAGAAAATTGAATCCACATTTGTTCGGAGCCGGCTTCATTTCTGGTTGATCTGTTTATTGACCACGATTTTTAAAAGTAAGCTTATCCTTCACCATCGAACAGGAGTATACCAAGAAGCGTAATTTTGCGCAATGGTTCGAACATTTCGTGCTGCTTGTGCCGGCGAAGTCCCTGATTGCGAACTGCACCTACACACAGCTGAGAAAAGCACCATAGCGCCCAGGCGACATACATATCCGCTACACAGAAGTTGGCCTCATAAAAGTGGCCGAACTTTGCCTCACGCTCGTGAAGAAGCTGAAAAGAGGCTTCGTCTGCTGTTGTTCGAAATTGGTGACGGTAATGTTATTTTACGGATGTCAATTGTGTTGAATCACAATCAAAATTGTCGAAGTAATATTTGCGTTTACCGTTCAAATTTTGATCAAGTCGAAAACAATTAACAATCGATCCGAAACTGATAAAAAAATACTCAAATGCAAATCCACATACGGCTATTTAAGAGCACTTGAGATCGTACATTCCTGGTTGGCTCCAGTGAGCTGTAAAGCGGAGTCGGTTCCTTCTTGCGGTGCTGCCTCAAGGTTCAGAAGAGCTAGGAATTTGAGCCAGACGAGTACCGCACTTGCATGAATCCGATCATGGTGCATCGTTCCGGACATCAGTTCGCTCATCCGCAACACACTCTTAAAGGCCAAAAGTGCGTAGATAACCGGCAAGAGCACAACTTGAATCGAATAATCGTGCGGTTTTAGCGCTAAATGCAAATAGTGCTCTTCTTTGCGGTTTTGCTCCAACCGCTCCGATAGCGTTGTAAAACTGCTAACGTTAGATAAGCGTGCAGTCGCCGACGACCCGCGGCTGCTCGGAGAGGAGGAGTCGGATGATGACGATGAGGATGAACTCGTCGATGTGGCAGCTTTATTCGTCTGCTGTCCTTCGGGATCTTGGTCAGCAGTTTCCTTGATATCTGCTGACACTGAGGACGACTTCTTCTTCCTTTTCGAAGAAGAGCTCGCTCTGGTCGATGAGACCATTTTACGATTTAGGCTTTCACTTTGTTTCCTACTTTTGATAGAGGTCTCGGTCTGTCCAACTTCAACATCTTCATCTAGTGCATTTTCGGCGAAGCTACTCACTCGATGAAACATGTCCGCGATTTCGTTCTGGCGCGTGTGATGTCGACACAGGTTGATACCAGTGACGCAGAACGTGAAAAACACTGCAACGAGGGAGATATCAGCCAAAATACTGAATGCAGCTGGGATTGTGTAGATGTGTTGGCTTTTCACTGCCTCCAACAACTTCGTCTCGGTCTCATGCTTCCGCTCGAACTCCTGACTTTCTTCCCTCTCGGCTCGCGCACTACTTCCGCTTCGTCTCTGCTCTGGTGCGCTTCTCGTTCGTCTCAGACGACGAAGGGCCGCTGCAGACTTAGGTCTGTTGTTGGTCGTTCGCGTTCCACTACCAAGAAATTGATCACTAATTATAGCGAACTCACGTGTTGTCACTGCAGACGTCGGACTTCCAGGGGCCAGCAAACTCATCGCAGAGGGAGGAGAGGTGATGTCTGCATCTCTTACAGTGTTCTCATCATCATGAACGGCGACAGAAGCTAGGCTGTCTCCTGCCGTCACTGCTGCTGAAGTGGCCGCATCATCCATTCTTTGAACAGAAGCTTCCGTCTCTCCAATAGCGTCTGCAGCAGCGCCGTTGGTGACGTTTGGGGAAGAACCGTGTGCGTCTACGGCGCTTCCACCCGACCCTGAGAATACCTCTCGCGTGGCAGTGGTCGAACGCAAAGGCGGCAAAAAGACGCCGTCAGCTGCCGTTGACGAAGTGAGAGGTGGAAGCATCGCGCCAGAGGCTGCTGTTCCGCTTGTGTTACGAAATGTTGTTGATGATCTATTGTTATCGTTGACATTATTTCCGCGTTGACGAATAGGAAGATCGTCATCAGAAGAGGTTATATTTTCTTCCTCAGCAGCCATGGTTTCTGCAAGAGCTCGTGTAACCTCTACAATTATTGCGCTCACCGCGCCAGCTTGCACAGTAGCGTTTCTCAGCTCCGTCACGGACGTTGCTGGCGTCGCAGTATCTTGCCCAGCAGAAGGAGCGACGTTTTGTCCCTCGTCTGCCTCAGGTGCAGTACTAGGATCAGGCTCAGCAAACGCAGCAAGCCCAGTGACACCAGGTGGCGATGTCGTTGTGCTAGTCACAGAAGCCAAAAATGGTGCCGCCGTGCTTGTCAAGGTTGCAGCGCCTGGCGGAGCTAGACTCTCGTCTTCTGCCCTCACAATGGAGGCTCCGTATTGTGCAGCAAGAAAACCTGGCGCAGGTGTTGTCGTTGTCGTTTGTTCTACTGAGAAAGTTGCGCTTGCGGGTATATCGCCTCCGATGAGCGTTATTGCCCCACCTGGAGACCCAGCGAGCGGCATCCCCAAGGGCAAGAAAAGCGCTTGTTGTGAGCTGCTGGACGGACCGCCGCAAAAGTGCGGTGAGACTGGAACTGCAGTATGATCTCGCGGCTGCTCCGCGATCGAAAGGCCGCTGAGGTCAAATTCAACAGTCGAGACTGGCGGAGGTCGATTCTTAGCTTGTCCTTTGTCGTCATCCGGTGGAGATACAAGTGGCTGTGCCTCTGAAGAACCAACTTCATCACCTGCAGGAGCTGCATGCATAGGAAGTATCTGTGCCAAGTCACTGCCTGCATCGTCTGGTTTTTGGCCCCCTCCAAATTCTCCACCTATTTGCGAAGAAGGAGCGTCAACATCCGCTTGCTTAGGTTCCAACAAGAGAGAAGAGCCTGCAGTCGCTGCCCCATAATGCACAACAGGCTTTACCGTTGAACCATCGCCCTCTTGAGGGTCATTCGACCCAAGCGCATTTTCCAGAGGTGGTCCTGGAGCCTCTGCGTCGAGCGTGCCCACATTTGACTCGGCACCAGGCGTTGTTCGGGTTCCGGTTCCACTAGCCGGTGAGTCGTCGTGTCTTACAGTCGAACTGCGTTCTGCATCTTCGGTTTCGCCTTGATCTCCTGTCGCGGCAGTTTGCTCCGCTTCCGAGGGACTTTTTAGCGCAACATCGCCACTGCCAGTTGCTTCTGCTGACGTGGCGCTAGCACCTTCAGACTCGTGCGCGGCAGAGCCTGTCGACGAAAGAGATCCTGGCGAGGCATCCCTTGATCTCGAACCCCTACTTCGCACGGCAGCAACAAATTTGCCTTCTAGCGAAGAACTGCTCTGCTCGAATACTGCCATTTTGGCTGCAATATTTGGATGCGTTTTGCGGCCTGCTGCCCCTAAAGTGGATTTATTTGCGGCAGGATTCCCGGAGTCACTACCAACATCACTCAACGATCCGGATGCTAGTAGCTCTGCGCCTGGTGGTGTTTCAGCCCCTCCCACCTGTTTGCGTTCCTCCACTGCAGGGTCTGTGCCCGTTGTTCCATCTGTAGCGAGATCGAGAACATTCTTCTGAGGAGTACTCGTCGAAATCCGCTCATCAATGCTGGTGACCTCTTCCGAGATTGCCTCCATGCCTGCTCCCGCGAACACAGTCGGATGATTCGTAAGTGATTTAGGACCAGGTGCCAGCGTAGCGAAAGATTGCGACTGCTGTGTCGCATCATGATCTCTCGGTACGCGCTGGTCTTTCCCATCCGAGGAGCCTGTGCCGGCGTTTGCATCCTTTCCTCCGCATAAAAATTCTTGATCTACTCCACTAAGAGCATCATCGTTGGTCGTTCCCCCGGCAGCACGCGGTGGATTTGTACTTGTACTTGCCTCGTTTTCCTCCGCTGCACTGGTCGACAAGTCTTCTTGGATTCGCGATTGGGCATGACCTGCTTCAGTTAAAGGGACTCACCGGTGTGTTGTTTTGAGGAGATTTCAATCGAAGTAGCATGCCTTGGCTTCATCCGAATCTATCAACCGAGTGAACCTGAACGAGGTGTATTAAAACAAGTCCTTTCTTAACTGTGCAGTTCCGGTCTGTGAGGCGTGGATGTCGCCACGCATTGTTCGCAGTTCTTCACTGCCATGATCCTCTGCTATCTCTTCTGAGGTCCTCGACGGAAGGGTCTTATTTGCAGCACCTGACCCTGAGGCTGAGGCTTTGGAGTGGATTACTGCGGCATCACTACTTCCGTTTTCGGCTCCTTGCGACGATACATTTCCACTGTCACCAGGAGGTTGGTTACCAAGTTGTTGAATCTGCTTGGTTGCCAGCATGGCAAACGATCCCAAGCTAGTGGCCTCAATAAATTGCTCCTGCTCCTCAGCTGTTGATTGCAGGCTCATCTGATTCTGCGCAGGAGCTGCCAGTACCTCAGGGGACAGCTGTCGAGAAGGTCTGCCCGAGGCGCCGGTGACCTCCGATGAGCCATCTGTCTGCGAAACCTGAAGCAGCTGTTCCGTGTTCACACCTAGCATCGCTTTCGTCCGCGGCGGACTAGTAGTGTGACCGGACGTATTTCCTCGAGAAAGATCTTCACGCCCTCGTTGTAACAGCGGTTGTGTGTTAAGCAACGAACCTGATGCTGATGCATCAGCAGACGCTGCACCACCGTCGCTAGCACGCGCAGTCGTTGAAATTATCCGCGTTTCACCACCAGTAGCAGTAATATGATCACCAGACTCGTCATCGTTCCTGGTCGTGTCTTCACATACAGTAGGCGAAGGCGCGCCGTACTTAACTGCTTTTGCTCCTCCAGCTCCTCCTAAGCCCGACGTATGAAATTCTGACGTTGAGTCACCGCATCGCACCAGCGGCGAGCTGTCGAGAAAGTCCCTGCTTTCAGGCACTCCACGAATATTCGAAGATCCAATCGAGTTCTCGAAAATGGGTAAGTTGTCTTGGTCCTGCCCGACTCGGCCAGCACCAGTGCGCCCAGGCGCACAGAATCCCTCTAGAGAAGCGCCACGACTAGTGAAAGGCGAAAGATGATGAAGTTGGGTACTACTTTGGTTAACGCGAGTAAGATCAGCTAAGCTTCCACCTGGTGAGGATGCTGTGGCATTCGCAATCGCGTCAAGGACATTGGGAGTGAGCTTGCGAAGTACCTCCGGTCGTGTCGTATGCAGGCGTGCCACGTCTTCAAGAGTGTTTCGCAAATTAGAGCAAGATCAAGACTACATTCCATGAGCTAGTACTCGTCACAACAAGATCATGGCACTAGTGGCCCCGCGTCTTAGCTAACTACTTCAAATCTTCGGAATCGCGTCGATTTGTAAAAAATCTACCTAGAAGCAAGTGCCAAGAAGCCCTCCCACTCCTTTCCAATACTACATTGTCTCAGCGTCAGCTCTGTCTTCCTTGATACTATCACTCCTTTCGGTAAGCTGCCTTAAGAATTCGCGTCTCTCGTTTTCTTTGTTCACCTTCGCGGTGCTTTGTCAGTAGCCAACGCCAATAATCGGAGCGCCGGATGTCTGGCAGGATCCCTCGTAAGTCCAAGCAGCGCTCCAGATCTGCGACCCATAGGCCAAAAACACAACAATACATCGGCAGGTAGTACGTCATGTACCTAAGTTGTACCAAGAGACGATAGCGCTTGTTAGTACCACCGAATCACTCAGCGACAGCGAGCAAGATAGAATATTTACAATGTCACAACATGCACGACATGCAAGAGCAAGAGGTGGAGCTCTAATTATAAATTGTTACTGCAAGTCGTGCTAGAAGAACAAGAGCTGGCAGTATTGGTATACCATGGACGGCGCTTTGTGCATAAGTCCCGCCATTTCGTGTGCTGTCCAAGACGACGCAATCCACCAAAAAAGGCAAAAACGATGAGTAGATCGAGGACTGTCAACATTCTTGTTAGGCTTCACGGGGTTGAGATGACGTTATAGAGAGAAAGGTGTTTCAAAAAAACCGGAATAATGGTCTTAGCTTTGTGTAACGCTTTTTCGGCGCAGAGTGATTATAATGTACTTACACAATTGGAATCCTTTTCGGCAGATTGTATACACATGTATATGAAATTTATTCACGATATTTCCAGAATGATGATGATGATGATAATGAGATACCCAGAGTTCACGGTTTACGTGTGGTTGCGCAGTGACAACGTGACTAAGTTTTTTGCTCAACTACATGCTCAATACATTTATACTCAGTAGACCTTCAACAATACTTACCTCAGTAAAACTGAGAAACTAACCACCTTCATGTTTCCGGAGTTCGAGGACAGACAAAGCCACAGAAAGACACCGGACAGATTTTACGGAACCCCGCGAATGTTAGGAGTGGCACAAGTAGGTAGAAGGTGACGACGTGCCCTCAATCATACAGAAAGTATCAATTATTAGCGCTCAACATCAATCTTCTAAGTCTTTTTCTCCAATGATCTCATGGTCATGGTCTGCAAAAACAATCGCATTACCAAAACCCAGAAATCTGTCACTTTCTAAAAGATTGTACGAGTGCTATTTACGAAGAAGCGCCACGAACTCGCCACGCCAAGCGGTGCCAATAGCTCATCGTGTTGACTATCGTACTTTAAAAACAGTTCGCTTGCTTTTCTTGCAAGTAATTGTTACTGGTGGTTGTGATTAGAAAAATTGCGTGTCACAAATAGCGTTTACGCGCTGCATTATCGTATTCTACAAGTACAAACCACATTTGCCTTCCGGCGCTTCAACAAACGCACAGGCACACTCAAAGGTGACTAAGTAGTATGAAAATGAATCAACATCAGAAATAGAAATGTGTTCATTTTTCAACCAGTGAAAGGGCAAGAAAAGTGCTGCTTTGTTTACATTTTTCCTGATTAGTTACTAAACGGCTCCATGACCATGGTCACGATGAAACCACGATGAAATGAGGGGCTGATATTTTTAGGAAGTCGCATTTACTTGCTAGCTCTTCTAGTTCGACGATTAAGGAAACAATCTAAGTAAATCGCGAATCCGGAAGCACGTTCGTGCTGCATGGTGCTAGTACCCATACATCTCGTCCAATCGCGACTTAGGCCTTTGCCTCTCAATTTCCTCATAATCGTACTTATCCCAGCTGCTATCACTTTTTCCGGTTGCGCCCTTGGAGGGCTGCTTTCTCTTCACGCCGCGGCGACGTCCACCGGATGAGGGTGCGCCTACTGGCCCTTTGCTTAGCGCCAGTCTTTCCCTATCCCTGGTTGAGTGTGTTCCCCTTTTCCCTCTTAGATTCCCCTTTAAATCGTGGGGGACTCGTCCACTCAGCATAGTTCACACGAGAATGAACGGAATAGTGAAAAACTAGCCTTAATTTACCCGGATGTCTGCCTCGAGGACCTGTCGCTACCGAGAGGCGGTTGCTCGACGTCGGCACCTTTCCGTACACGTCGAGGCCAGAGCGTCGAGATAGCACGCTACCAGAGGAGCGAGTGTCTCCCCAGCGCTCGCGCTGACGTACGGACGACGAATGCAGGACTGCAGCGGCCTTGGCCGACAATTGAGATCCACCTTCATTAGCTGGAGGCAGAGATCCGCCAAGATATGGATTGGCAGTAAAAGACCTCGCCGACGTCGATGAATTATTTGATTTCATACTCGAGGTGGACTTCGACGTAGTGGAAGTAGAAGATATTGAAGGATAAGGACGAAGAGAAGATGTAGATGGAGAGCTCGTTTTCTGTGTGGAGGTTTCACTTGTAAGATGCGACGTGGGCTGAGGCAGCATTGATTTTTTTGATGAAGTCCGCAGCAGATATGTATCAGCATTAGCCGTTGTCGCTTCTTCTGACTTCACAGTCTTCGTCTTTTGAGCGTCCACTCCTTTCTGACTCAAGTAGTTAGAACTCGATTCTTGCAAATACCGCAAGATCCTCTCATCACTACTACTTTGTGGTATAGGCGATGATGGTGCAGTGCCGCCCAGGCTGCGGTAACTTTCGAATATACGATTCGAGGAGTTAGTGCTTCCACCTTGTCGTACTAGCGTTTTATCTGCTCTAGTTCCTTTTGCTGAAGAGGACGCTTGCGGTTCGGGTGTCCTGGTAGCTAATGACGCCACCAGCGGTGATGCCTTTGTATTTGCACTGACCGACGCCTTCAAAATTTTCTTCGCTGCGCTGTTGTTGACCATATAATTGTCACCGCCCCTCGCATTGTTTGCACAAGCCGACCGGATTTCGGGATTGTCTTGATTCCAAACAGCGTGTGCAAGAGTCATAGTCGTGTGGAAATTATGCCAACCGAAGCCACTGGCCTGGAGAGAATCCAGTATTGGAGTGCTTCGATGAATCCCACCTGGCGCTCGCACTTTTTCCTTCAACCATGCGCGGATCTGGCGATCGTAGTCCCAAGACATTAGAAAGTTGATGCTCAAGAAAGTCAAACTGAGGTTTATTACTGAACTTGACGTATCCAAGAGTGTCCGCCTTGATGAAATGAGCCAGAACCCCCACGGCGTTAAGCTTAGGGTTAACCATCTACTATCTCAATATCTCCTTGCTGTTGATATTGAAATGAGCCAGAGCTGCCACCACGACGCCGGCGCTTACGACCGCCGGCCTTGCGCCAGCAGCGGCAACAGCGTGGACTCACGTATATTTAGAAAAGAACGCCTCATAACATTTCCGCATTGGTGAAGAACCCAAGGTCCATGGTATCTGTGACCAGACCGTTAGTCTCGATCCACTTGAGGCCTCGGTCTTGACGTTGACGAACAATGCCGTGCTTCACAAACTCGACAATGCTACAGCGTGGCGCAGGAATCTCGAACCGCTTCTGCTCTGTGTTCTGGACAACTCGTGACAACACACTAACTTTCTCGGCAACTCCCAACGAAGACCACCCGGCATAAAATCCATCCACTAGAGGTGACAGGACACTAATGTGCTTGTTTATTGATGAGCAAGAGGAAGCAGCTACACGGAAGGAAAGTTCTTGCCCATCCTGCCTAGTACCAAGAACAGCATCTCCTGTAATGTCGATGCCGTTTTCAGCCTGAGAATCTCTGGCATTCTCCTGGTAATTTTGAATCGTCTGCACCCACATTCGCATTGCAGGTTTCCAATCCTTGGCCTTGTTCCTGTTCCGCCAAAGGAACAAATCGATCGCTTCTTCGAGATCTCCATTCGGATTCTGGTGAGCAACAACAGACGCAGAAAGCTCAACCTCAGTAGTAGTATTATGTGATGCGCCTTTATCCTCACGCTCACCAGTGCTTGTGTTTGTCGCATTTGCAAGGTCTTAGAAGTCGAAGAGCTAGAACCAGATCGATATAAAAATAAAAAGGAATCGCAAGAAGAAAAGTACCTATGTAATTTTCAGTCAGTCATCATGATCATCAGCTTTTGTTTTACCTTATACCATAGATACGACTTAAAGTTAAAAAGGCGCCTTTACCTTGTACGACTAAGTACCGTTCTTCAATGTCAATTTGAATGCAAATGCATTTTTCGAAATGATCATGCTTCTTGACATAAGTTGCATGTACACCAACGAGTGCCGTGGTGCTCGTGTTGGAGTCTATTCCAGCACCCAGATAGCCAAGCCACTGCAATATACCGCGAACAAACATCTCGTTTTTGTTGGCAAAAACTCCACGAAAGAGCGTAGTCCCTTTCAGCTGTCCCACAACGACATCAAACGGCCGTTCTACATGCAGCAGAGGCAGGCTGCGCTTCAAACGCACTGGATCCTCTTCCATCCCGGAATCATCCTCGGCCTCATAGACCCGGCCCCGCGACCAATGTCGAAAGCTTCCTACAACAGCCTCGTACGCGTTTTTTTCGGCTTCCTGACTTCCGAATAGCATGTCAGCGGTTCCCTCGAGATATTCACATTGCGAATCATTCTGGAACTCGGTTGTTGCTGCGGATGAGAATGATGAAGGTCTATTTTGTTCAGCAGTCTTTACGTTTGAAAGTGCGAGCAACAGCCTTCGACGGATTTCTTTGTAACACAGACTCACCAGGCTCTGAACATTCGCCTTTTCTTTCTGTGCCAACACAGATAACTGCGCTGCTGTGGGAGCCGTTTTATTTTTCCTTTTCTTCGAAACGGAGTGACATTTTCTTGAAGCCATGACGGCTTGCCAATTCGCTACGCCGTGGTTCTGCAAAAACAGAGCCATACCATTGGGTGTCACATCAACTGTCGGCTCCCGCCCGAAATCAGAGCGCCGATGCGCTAGTAAGTAGCCGAATCGAAGCAGCACGCGCCCCACTGCTCTCGCATGTTCGATTTCGGCACTTTCTTCTGAAACCGCTACAGCACTGTTGCCGGGCTCAGTCGTTACCTCAGCCTCGTTTGTACTTATTGGAGGCAAGAGTCTAAAGTCGTCAACTACAGCAGCCAGCCATCTACGATCGTCCGCAAGACCACTGCTAGTCCCATGACCAGTTGCGCCATCGGTGGCTTCCTCCCTTTGGTTTCCACCCTGCTCCAGCAAGCTAACAGAAACTCCAGCCGGCAGATGCGGGTACTTGCTTCGACGTAGATTAGCGGCGTCATTTGTACTTTCATTACCCTGCTTGATATTGGGTTGAACTCGGAGGTCTGTGCTCCCGTAGTTTGTGCAACTAGTAGTCTCTCTTCCAAGTAGCGGACTACCTCCGGTGCCTGCGGCCGCATTAGCGCCCAGATTCTTGGTTGTTCCTTCAGATACCGATAGCGATAGGGAAACATTCCAGTTTTCTGGGGAGGAGGTCTTTCCGTTTCTGCAGAAGTTGAGCACTTCCGTACAGACGGTGCTCAGTTCGTCGATGTTGCGCTGTCCGAGCCGCGCACTCTCAGCAAGCACGATGCAAGCTTGCGACTTTCCCATGATGCGTCTGTATAAGGGCACAAAATCCAAATCCGAAGAGACGATGGCAAATCCAATATCGTCATGCGTTGGGTTATCTGCAGAGGGTGAAGTGCTCGACGTTGTCTCCACCGCAGCGCCGCTGTGTTCAGCAGTTTTGATGTATTGCGTTTCTATAGACGTACCACGAGACTCGTCCAATCCCGGTTTTTTTTCTGCTTTGGTACGTACAGATTTTCGTTCAAGAACGCCTGATCCGATTTGGTTTTGGTATTCGCAAGATGCCTCTAAGACGTCCATCGCCAACGCCAGGTCTCCAGGATCTTTTCGGCCGCCAAGCAACGCTTGAATGCAGTGGATTCGTATCGGGACCGGGTAAGGTCCATGCTCATCCACTCTTTTCTGCAGCCACTCAACATTGTGCTGTTGTCGGTAGTACGTAGCACGGACCGGCTGCAGACCGCGGGCCTCTAATATCCGGAAAACCATGGGAAGAGCTCGTGGCGCTGTTTGATCTCCATCTATACGAACATCGACAAACTTCGGAAGTTTACTTTTTGAAGCGAATTTCTCATCCTCGATTGCATCCTCATGTATTTCTGAACTCTTTGTGCCAGGAGCATTGTGCTGATTTAGAGCGGCAGCTTTCTCGGAAGTCTGGGCATCACCAATCACTGCGGCAGCAGGGGAGCTGCAGGTTGAATGAGCCCTGCTGACACGTGAACTCGCACCAAAACTGTTACTTGCTGTGCTTGACTCAGCATTTTTTCCCACAGCTGCAAGGAGTCCAGGCGCCGGTATAGTGTTATGTGCTGGAGCGGTGGACGAGAAATGCGGCTTTGCGACTTGTTTTTCTGCAGTACTCGATGCTCTTCCAGGTAGAAAAGCTGCATTTGCCACGCCCACACCTAACGGCGCAGCTGCTGATACCCCACCGAAAAACCCTCCATGCAGAAAGTGCTTATTTCCAAACCCTCGCACGAGCGACGCAGCTGCCGCTGTGGGAGAGCTCTCTTGCTGCTGGTGAACATTTGATGATGTTGTAGTCCTCTCTGAATTGGTCGAGGTTGCGGCGTTATTTGCACCGGCTTTCGGTGCTGTCGGCGCTGTTGACGAGTTATTTCCAGCCGCTCGCCGAGACAGGTAGTATCGGGCCTGCCGGCGCAAGGAGGTTGACACTAACATTTTGACTGCCGTCACTTCAATGAAATGAGAGCAAAAATTACATGACAATATGAATATGAAGTCGCTAGACTCATCTTACGTCGAAAGTAGAACAAAAAATAGTTATGATTTAGAGGAAGCAGATAATGCATTCCATTATCTTAATACGGCGTAAATCTCCACAACTTCAACTATAATCATCGGGAATTTTTAACAAGTGGCAGTGGACAGTTGAGAACCCAGGACGGTACCATGCTTAAAGTTTTAAACACGTATCAAAACTGACCAATCTTGCTACAAACTTAGTTAGCAGGTATTCCCTATCTACCGTAGCCATCTGCCCAACCAATTGGCTCATCACGCTCCAACCTGCAACTAGAGATAGACGTAAATTTTCACATCGGACATGGAGAAGTGTTGGATCCAAGGATCTGCCAGACTGTCTGTCACCAACGCAAGAAAGGACTCAATAATGAGTAGATGATCTGGAAGTGAAAGATCTCTTCTTCTCTAAAAATTTTCGATTATACGCTTCCCAACATCGAACACACCGTCTCTTCCAGTGCGGTAGAGGATAGATCGTCCTTACGGGCCACGGAAGGCCTTCGCATCGCCTTAAACTTGTTCCGGCGCGTGGATTGCTTGCTGTGGGTGTGCGGTCCGAACACAAACCGTAATAACACGGCATCAAAATCAATGACGCACGGATAGATTTGCTTCTCCTTGTGGGACCTAGCATGCAAAGAAAAGCGGGGTATATTGCACAAACAAGAGAACTGCAATCACGTATCTGCGTCAGCATTGCGGCTCCGGTGCATGGCTTTTGTCTGGTCTCTTAGGCACTGTTGAAGCCGAACTTTCGCCGAGCAACTACTTGTAAAGTCCCCTCTGGCTCTGTGTGGCCGCAGCATCCTAAACAATGCATTTATAACAAAGAACAGACTAAGTGACAGACTTTTGATCTAAGTACGTACGCGAATTGAGAAAGTTTTTACCCTCTTGGCAACTTAGCATGAGCATCACTGATGAGTCAAACAGTAGTTTGAGTTTCCCTCGCATATCCCATCATTTACTTCGTCTTCAGACTGCTCTGCCTCTGTGAAAAAGCTTTATGAGGAAAAGACGAACACCATTGCCCTTGCGCACTTCGAGCCGAATGTTCTGCTTCTGGCAGAGTTTGACTTTTTTTTACCCCTCCACCTCACGATTGAGTCTGCATGGCCGCACGCTGCTGTGGAAATAGTAATTCTCGTGATCGACGATTAGAGAGTACTAGAGCCTCGCTGTCGCTGCCAAGAAAATCCATCAGAATCATTAAACTTCAACGAAAAAAACTGTAACCAAGTCTGCAAAATTGACATTGAGAATAGAGTTAGAGCAAAGATGCGCACAACAGCCTCCTCGTACTCCTATAATCTTAACTTGAGCACTTTTCCCAGCTTGGTCTCGACGAACTCCGTGTCGTCGATGTAACCGTGTCGTTCCAAGAGCTCGCGTGCTCGCTGTCTATTAAAGGTCGGCAGTCGTTCGTTGGTCACTGATTCGGAAAGAAAAGGGGCCCCATGCCTCTCCCCTAGTTTTCCATTCATTTTCCCCTGTTCTCTCAAGGTGTCAGTGATGACCAGTGAAGGTTGAGCCTTAAGTCTAGGTCCTGGCGCTAGCGTCGTCACCTCCATTGTGATGAGCCCAACACGAACTTCCGGTATCCGTTCTAGCAATTCCTCCAGAATCTCAAGCTCTAGGCCTTCGATGTCCAGCGACAGATAGTGGATCCACAACCGCACATTTTTCGGAGCTCCTGGAGGCTGAAGAACTGTACTAGACCTAGTAGAGGACGCACTTCGCGAAGAACTAGATGTAGTCGTAGAAGAAGAAGATATAGAAGGTGGAGATAATTGTAGTTCCCTTTCAACATCAACTCTACTTCCATTTGCTGCATGTCGCAACCTGCGCACAAGTGACAATTCCGCGAAAAAGTTACGAGCTAATACATTCCACAAGGTGTCCAATATTACAGGAACTGAGACGCTGCTCATTCCATGCTTTTCGAAATTAGAGAAATTTGATAAAAAAACAAAAAGAAAAAGAAACAAAAGGGATAGGAGGTGAGTAGCGGATTCTTTATCTTTGACTTTGTTATGCAGGAAATCTCACATCTTCCCGGTGGAATTGCGGAAGAAAAGCAAACCGTAGGTCCAGATGAGAATTCTACGGTAAGCCTAATGTGAAAAACTGTCATCATGCCAAGCACAACTCCACCCGGTGATCACTCCGCTAAAATGAAGTATTGTTTCATAATCGCAGACACAGACCCACACTTAAACTTAATCGTATTTATAAATTGGATCAGAGCAGTTTTTTAGGGTTTCGGGTCCCGGTTGGCATGGCACGAGTGGAACGGTTGGAACGAATGGCAGGCATCCAGTCCGGGGCTTCAATCTGTTCCGCCATCCGTGCCATTCGTGGACCTATCAGACCTCCGAGAGCAGGGGGGCGCCCTGCGTCTTCCAGCGCTGCTTCCCCCACGGCGTTGCCGCTTCTTCCGAATGCTGCGCGCATACCTTTTGGAACCCCACCGGCGCGCGGGGCGCCCTTCGGGCGCCCTGCGATCAACCTCCCACACCCTCCACGACGTTGAGATCAACCTCCCACACCAATATATCTCCTGGACTTCTAGGCAATCAGTAGACTAGGTGCTTAATCTTCTTCAATTATTATAAGTTGATAGATAAAAAACATAACAAAAAAAAAATCTATATTATTAGTCTATATTATTAATCTATATTATTAACCTATATTATTAAGATTAGTCAGCTTCTTTCGCGAAGCTATTGCCCATAGCCTCCTGCCCTTTCCCCTCATTCTCAAGCCTGATAGCCTCCGGCCGTTTCCTTGTTGGGATTTACGTTGCGGCCCCGTGGCAGACCACCAGAAAAGAAGGCAGAAAAATGGCCGACGGGGGTGGGGGCGCAAGCTGCGGAGAAAAGTCCAAAGAGAGACAGCCAACGAAAGACCGCCCACCGAAAGGGCAAAGACCTTGGACCAAAGACATATGGACCAAAGCCGATCTTTGGGCCAAAGACGAGCTTTCGACCAAGGGCGATCGTTGGACCAAGGGCGATCTTCGGACTAAAGGCGATCTTCAGACTAAAGGCGACCTTTGGACCAAAGACGACCTTTGGAGTACAGGCGATCTTTGACCCAAAGGCGATCTTTGACCCAGGGGCGACCTTTCTTTGGACCACAGGCGACCTCTGGACCACAGGAGACCTTGGGACTTAAGACGACACTGGGACCAAAGACGACCTTGAAACCAAAGACGATCTTGGGACCGAAGACGACCGCGGGACCACAGGCGACCTCTGGACCAAAGTGCGGCGACCTCTGGACCACAGTAGGGCGACCTTTGGACCAGAGTAAGGTGACCTTTGGACCAAAGTAAGGCGACCTTTGGACCAAAGTAAGGCGACCTTTGGACCAAACCCAAAGTAAGCCGACCTTTGGACCAAAGTGCGCCGACCTCTGGACCAAAGTAGGACGACCTCTGGACCAAAGTAAGGCGACCCTTCGACCTCTGGACCAAAGTAGGGCGACCTTTGGACCAAAGTAGGGCGACCTTTGGACCAAAGTAGGGCGACCTTTGGACCAAAGTAGGGCGACCTTTGGACCAAAGTAAGGGAGGCGACCTTTGGACCAAAAACGACCTCTGGACCACAGACGACCTTTGGACCAAAGCCGACCTTTGGACCGAAGACGACCTTTGGGCCCAAGACCTCCGACAAGACAAGAGTGAGACCCACGACAGCAGACATCTGACGAACGACCTCCGCCAGAAAAACTGACGCGGGGCCTCCCTGTGGCGCGAGGCCCTTGAAGATAGCGAAGACCTTTCGCGAAGGACGTCAGTCCGGCGAACGCGGTCAATCTGGCGAAGCACGTCAGTCCGACGAAAGAACGGAATCAACCTTACGAAGGAGAGACATCCACAGGAGCCCGAAGAGAGGCCCCGCTCAACCTGTTCCGACGCAAGGCAGACGCCTGGCGAAGCATTGCGCCGGCCTGGCGAGAGGCCTCACCTGGCTGGCGAGTGCATCAGCCTGACGAACGGCGCCGAGCTGAAGCAAGCCATCAACCTGACCAAAGGCGTGAGTCTCGGCCCGGCGAGGAATGTCAGCCAGGCGAAGCGCTTCAGCCTGACGAGAGACGTCGCCCGACCCTGACGAAAAGCCTCAGCCTGACCCAAGACGCCTGCCGAGGGGCGCCGGCCTGCCCGACGAACGCCGCCAGCCTGGCGCAGAGCGTTGCTCTGACGAACGGCATCAGCCTGATGGAGGGCCTTAGTCTCCAGCTTGGTGAAAGACGTCAGCCAGCCGAGAGGCTTCAGCCACAGCCCGAAGCGCGACGCCGCACGGCCCCGCAAAGTGCGCCCGTCTGTTTCTGACGCGAGACATCTGACGAAACAAAGAAGCCCCGCCAGGTGTAAGCGCGTAGAGAGACCCAAGCAGCGCGGCCCTGCGTTGCTTTGTCTTGTTTGGCCCATCAAGGTCGCCTCTCGTTCTTGCCTGGCGCCACCGCGAGGCGCTTGCGTGCGTTGGGGCTTGCGGATTCTTGTGCGTGTCTGGTGGCTCTCTTCTGGTTTTTTTGTTGGACTGCCGTGGGGGTCTTGCAAATTCTTAAGAATTTGCATGACCCGCCCGGCAATCTCAAAAAAAAACCGAAGGCAGCGCAATGCCCTGCACATGAGTCGACGCATCTGAGTCGGCCACCGCCGGCACTCGGCTCTTGTCGTAGTCAATTCGTAAGGTGCAACAGCTCACCCGCGGGCTGTCTCTACTCTAGCGGCTGTAGCCCGTGGGAGGCCGCAGGAAAGTGCTAAACTAACTTGAAGCCGGGCGAAGCTTGTGGAGGCTAGTATATAAATATAAATATGTTCAAATTCTAGGTCACTGGTAAAATAAGTTGCAAGTAGCATAGCTATGAGTTCTCTCTCCTCTGCTTCTGATACTTTCGAGTTGTGATCGTCGTGCGTGACCAGCCCGTCTCCTGACGCGCTCCCTCCATTTTGATTTCGGAAAAATCGAAACAATGCGGTTACCACTTTGAAATTAGAGGGATCGATTAGGACGGCGTTTCTGCTCGTGTTCCCCCTTTGTTATGCTTTTCTCCCTTCCGAGAGCCATAACAAACAGTAGCAGAAACGCCGAAGCTGGAGCCTACTCTTAATGAAAGGCTCTACTGGAGAAAGTGCGCGATCACGAACAAGGGCAAAGAGAGAAGCAGCGAAGGGCTCCTGTTCTTGGAATACTAAATCCTCGCGAGCATCGACATCAGCTGCAGGTGGCGTGGCTTTCGCACTCAAAGGGTATCGAAATATGCGTTCCGATTCAGAGAGTAAGGACTTTCCTTCATAGTCCGTCGCAGCATCCACTTTTTGTCCTTCTTGTTCACCCAATGAAGTTCCTGAGCCTGCGCCGCTGGCGTCTTCCCTCTCCCGCTGGTGCTGCTCTATAATTGACGTTGATGTACTAACCGACTCCGATGAGTTCTTCATCTCTGTCCTCGTTGTCGCACTACTTTCTTTGAGTGTTACCAGTTGGTCGGCTTCGACGTAACGCTCCCTTGAGACAATGGCAACGCGGTCCACCCGGCAACTTCTCGTTTCGTACTCTCGTCGTACAGGCAAGGCTTCTACGCACAGACCACGCCAATGCAAGCCGTCAAGCGAAAACGTGTTGGAGACCTCGAAGCCAGACACACCAGCTGCAATGTCCACATAACTAAACTGCGCAAAGTTCGTCACCGTCTTCTTGCCAACAACAGAATCGCCTGCTTCAATACCGATGTTGCTGTTCATCGTGTTGTCTTCAGCAGGAATCGTGTACGGGTTGTTCACGTAGAACTCCTCAACAACTTTTAAATCATGATCGGAGCTTGATTTTTTCGTAGAAGTAGAGGTTGTCCAGGATGTTTTATACAGGTTAACTACATCTACAGAGTCTGAGGCTTCAGTCGTTGACGTGGCTGGTGTGGCGATACCTGTGGAGTCTTTCAGGAGCTGCGAATCGGGATCTTCCACCAGAGAAGGATATTGAATCTCCACTCGTTGCATTTTCTGCATAAACGAGGAACAGTTGTAGGTATCCAGGACCCAACCATCTTGCCACAACTGCGAGGTCAACAGTACTTAGACCTTACCCATATCCATCTTGAGAAGCATCTCTGACCTGTTTTTCCCTTACGAAGCAAAGGGGTCAAGAAATAGAAAGATGCGTCGGAAGATGCATTACAGCAAGCCGTAAAGTACCTTCTTTTCTGGTAGAGCTTGGTCTTTCTTCGAGAGTAGACGAGTTAGACGACTTGGTCCCCGGGCAATGCCTTGCTCAGACCGTTTTGTCCAGAGTTTTCCCGGGGCCAGGGAGCGCGCCCACCACCATCGGCCCCCGCTATCCTGATCGTCCACTTTTAATTGCTTGGCGAACCGTTCCCGGTCGGCCTTACTCAGATTTATATTGTCTAGCGTCACTCGAGACGATTTCGCTTGATGGTGTTTTTCAGCCCGCGAGGATGATGCGACGCAGCTCTGGACACTAGCAGCATCACCACGACCACCAGCATTAGTATTACATTCCCTTCTACCTCCACCACCTTCGGCTTCGCGGCCACCTTCCAGTAAATTGACTGCTTCTACTACAGACCCGCTTTCCAACTGCAAAACGTCCTCGATGGCATCATTCCTGTGGCCAACTGTGACGCCACCCGCGTAGTACTCCTCACCCAGCAACGCGGGAGGAGAGTTCTCATCCACCTCGTTGTCCATGAAGAGACGCAGTGCAGGATGGAACATCCTTGGCACTTGAAACCCGTGCCAGGCTAGTTGAATACGATGCAGCAGCCGCCAGATGGGCCAAAACCGCATCTGTTGAATCCAAACTAAGCTCACGGTGAGAGGGAGACGTCGTTGAACAGGAAGAACGGGAGGAGGCTCTAGTACACTAGGATCCTCGGCTGCTTCTGCAGACGTAGCTCCAGGGTTGTCGCCACGACCCATCAGTTTGTAACTAATCTTGATGTTGTGGTAGTTGGTTTCTCTATCTCCTCCTAGCTTCTTAGTACCCTTCTCCCAATGCGAAAAATGTCGCCGCACTGGCAGCCGCTGCTGATTTGCGAGCAGCATGGTGTTTGTCGTACTATTGCCCACCACGCCAGTCCTTGCCGTCACTGGACGTGTCTTCTGTCTCCACGGCGCGTCCACCAGCGCAATTGGATCCCGGTCGAGCCACAAGTCAAAAAAGGCATGCCTAAACCAGAACTCGGCTTTACTCACGTGCTCTCTCCATTCACTTTCGTGAAAGTTGAGAGCTTGAGTCAGGTGCCAAACGATTCTATCAAGCGGACAATCCGACTCCCTCAAAGCTTTTCGCAGAAGAGCGTAGACGCGGGCGGACAGCGATCGATCCTCATAAGGCCCGACGCGTAGCCAGCTCAAAAATCGTTGCTCAAAGTCTGGTATGGCTGAGGATTTAGAAAAGGAAAATTCAATGAGCATGATGTACAACTAGGGCGAAGAATTAGATACCAGCAAATTATAACAGTCTGATGAAAATCTAAAGACTACAACATTAAAACCGACGACAAAGGCAAGACAGCTGCCGGAGCCGGACAACTACTAGACTACTAGTCTAATTATCTCGAACCGGAATTAGAATACCAGCAAATCATAATATAATTATAATATAAATATACATCGAACCACGAGCACGAACACGACAGTACTTAACTGAAATTGATCGTCTCGAAGACGCAGGGTCACTCTTGCGCTCTCCTTCTAGTCGCTCATAGTCTGCGGCAAACTCGAGATCTGACGGAAACATGTCCGTTACACTATCTGGCATCCTGCCGGAGTTCAGCACGCGGATCACCAGATTCAATGCGTGCGAATGAAAGATGAAGGCCCACTTCAACTTCAACCAGAATCGGAAGATAACACCTTATCTACTAGTAAGTTTTACCAGCGAGGAATAGGAATTGTAGAAGCTATGACCACCATCACCATGGTCTTGGAGTTGAAGTTCTGCGGTCACGGTTCTTGGAAAGAAAAGCCAAAAATAATCTTCCACTTGTTCCGCTGTCGCCCACTAATGTCTACTATGCTTACGCTAAAGTCTTAACCTCCAAACCCCAGCATAAAATAGCCAAAGTCGCTCCCTGCGGTGATGTCTGCTGCACTTACTTCGGAGCTCTTTTCCCATACCCAGATACTCCGGCAGCCCTTCCGGCAGCATCGTGTTGTTGCGTCCTGCCAAGCACGGTCCACCAAGTCCGCCGTCGCTCTGACACCCAAATTCGTTTCCGATCAAGTACAAGATACCGAAAATCGGAAACGTTTTCTTTCCTGTCCTCTCGATACGATTAGTAGGAGACTCTGACTTCTTCGACGCCTCTAAGTGCGGCCTGTGGTTTGTGTCCTTTTTTCCCGTGGTCGCCTCGGTTCCTTCGATGTACGGCAGGAAGTTTACGGGGAAGTCGCCAAATAGACTTACATCTGTTCCGGTGTAAGAAAGACGGGGCAAGAAAACGTGTTTTCTTGTAGTTCGTCGAGAACCTTCTTGCGATTTCCCGATTTCATGTTTTTGCACTTCTTTTGTGAATTCGTCCAGTGTCGCAACCACATGAAACTGATATTGACTAGTATCTGACCCTGCTGAAGATATGTCAGGAGAGCGAGAAGGTGAACCTGAACCGCCTTGAATAATATTGTTTCGCTCATCGTCAAGGATCGTAGTCGTACTATCCCCAGAAGCACCATCTTCATTCCTTTCAGAACTGCTCGCAGTCGCATCGTCCGCTTGTTCTAATATGTGGCTTCGCACATGCACACGCTGTTTCAGCCACAGGTAGCGACTGATATCCTCTGGCATCTCATGGGTTTGCCATACTGCATTTGCACTCACCAAAGGGTGTCGGAAGAGCAGAAGTTCGCACGCCAGAACTTGCTGGGGACAACCGCGGAAGATGAAATGGACAGCATGTTGACGACAAGTTGAACTTTTATTTACGCGAAAACTAGAACTACTAGTGGCGCTTGATAAAGATGATGTAAATATGATGAAAAGCCCGATGAGAATAGCGTGATCTCCTAGCAATGCTTTGCTCGTCAAGGATCGATGTGAAAAAGAAAGAGAAAGATGAAGATTCATTTATTTGTGTGAAAACGTAGCAAAAAAGTCCGACTAGTAAGGCATGTGCGTGTAGTAGTTAAGTCTAGGCAGTTAGCACTTCTTTGCCGTTGCCATAGCCACAACCAATGGTCCCTCATCCCATCCGCCTTCGCGCTTTCGAAAGAGAAACCCTTTGCCCACTTTGCCTTCGCCTCGCACAATCTGGGCCTCGAATATCCGAAAGATACATTGTGCTGCAAGACGGTCTGCACCGTAGATGGCGAAGTCTGTAATTTGCGGACTCCAGTTACTCGGTTGGCTGTCAATGGCGTGCAGGAGCCACATAGGATTGTCGATCCCATTGAAGCCTTCGACGTTCTCTTCAACTTCAAGTTTTTCCTCACCATCTTCACCTTGCTCTTGAACTCGATGGCCCGCCCTACTAATTATAATTTGAGGAGGGTAGTGACAGAATGGAAACTCCCCTACTGGTGGTGCAGCATTTTTGCTGTTCCGTGATGAAGATGTCGCAGCCGCTAATTTCACCCCAGAAGAGCAAGTAACTGTTCCATCAGTTGAGGACGCGCGTTCACGTCCAAGGAAGAGGACATGAAAAAGCTTCGAGATGACGAGCCTCATGAGCACATCCGACAGTTTCCGCGAATGGTGCGCCACAATTAGCATATCTGCATGCCTCGCAGGCGCAGCAGCAAAGCAAGCCAAGATCTAATTGTGTGGGCGGTACTTCTGTTCCGCGTTGTTCCCGCACAAAATCGAATCACTCAAGGCCCAAAATTAAATTAGATTAGAAGGTCTCTGGCTTGCGATCTTGCAGAGGCAATTGCTCAAGAAAGGCTTGGCGGAGACACAATTGCTTTTCTCTTCTCCGACACAAGATCTTTTCTCTTCTCCGACGGTGTTGCTTTTGATTTCATCTTCATCTCTCCAATATCCAGCAAGGAGCTGAAGCGACAATCGGCGGGAAAAACGAGGTCATATTTTTTACGCTCAGCCTGTTCTGATATGAGGCCGCGTGCTCTGTCTCTAAAGTAGGTAGATAGACGAAACTGGAACATATTCTCGACAATTATTGAATAAGTGAGCAGGTGCAGCGACTGTCAGAAAATCTTCCAGCACAAAAACGCACTACTCCCCCGACAAGACGATCGCTACGTCGTTCACTCTCTTAATTTTGATACTCTGTGACCGATTGAAACAGCACCAAACTTTATCTCATTAGATGAAGCCTGCTTCACAATCAGCGTCGAAGCGTTCTTGCATGTCAAGAATCATATGAATACCAATTGATCTTCTTCGTGTTTTCCAGGTTCTCAAATTCATCTGCTGGCTGCCATCTTCAGGTTTTTTTGGAGAATGCTGCTGCTGTCCTCTTATGCTTATCTTTCATCATTTTGCCCGTGTGTAGCTTGTCCTGGTTTTCTTTGGTGCTGCTAAACTCTGGTATGTCTAAAAATTTTTCTTCGAATCCAATCCTAAAGTTTAGAAAATAAAAGATTATGCTTATGAACAACAATGAATATTATCTCCTGCGCCAGCCAATATTCTGTACAATTGAGGACGGCATGCCTCCTGTTATTTAAGGAGATATTTATATTATGCTCATGGCGGTTAGGGAAATAGATACACAAACAGTTTGAACATCTATGTGGCTTGATGCAACATCTTCAACATAGAATTGATATGGTTGTTAAGTTCATGCTTAAGAATATGCTACAGCTGCAGGTTGATTCGAAGTTTTTGCTTTTTGTGTAAAATTGTAGAACAAGTCTAATATGCTTACTTTGCTTTTTCGGTTTTCTAAGAGGCTCTTTTTTGCACAAAGAACTTTTTAATAAAGTCGTTGTTCTTTTGATGAATTGGATCGTCATCTGCTAAAGCAGCTACTTTCCCGCGAGAATCTTCTTTTTCCTGGTACTCCGCACATGCACTACTTGCTGGTAAAAAAATAGATCGAGGGCCCAGTCGTTGTGCCGTTGAACCACCTAGAACCGCCGACAGCGTTTTCTTGCTCCCTGTGGACGTAGAAGATGCTCTAAACGGGTTCGGTGATGCAGGCGATTCTGCAATACCAGGTCGACGACCAGGGGATGTTCCTGAAAGAAGCGCGTCCTGTAACAAGTCTCCACCGGCCGACCCAGATATGGATGCTCCTAACGACATGTCTTTGCTAAGACCTCCAAACGTTGTAGCCTCAGACGCAAGCAGAGGAGAGCTGCTGCGCTGAAGCCGTCCAGTAGTTGTTCCAAAAACGCCAGAGGTTGCGCTCTTCATCTTTGTGCCCTTGCTGAGAAGCGGAGAAGACGCCTCTTCAGGAGTGTTATACCCCAGTGGCTGCAATGCTATGCGTTGAGGTGAGCGCCCGAGCTGTCCGACATCCATCTGGTCCATGTTGGACGAGTCAATCACCATCGACCCTCCACTGGCCGGTACGATTTTTAGAACACCTCCTGGATTCTTTTGCTGGTGGCCTGCGCTGGTCCGGTTCGCCGAGATAGCTGGCGCCGTAACAGTTGAACTATGGTCAACACCTGTATTGAAACCGTGGGGGGAGGCATGACTGTAGATGTTGGACGGTGTCGACGTGAAAATATCAGATCACTAGGTCCAGGTCCGCACAACACTGTCAACGAAGTACATACCAAAATGGTCCTTGCACTAGGGAGAAATCAAAGCACTCACTTGATGTAGGAGTAGATGTTGCATATGAATGAGTATATTGCACCGAGTATGTAGCCGAGTAATAGGTACCCAGGGACGGCCGTTGAAGCGGTCCGCTTCCTGGAATCGCTGATAACTTCTGATCTAACCCACGATCTTGACTTGAGCGCACTTTGACGCGTGTCGTCGCCGTCGCTCCTTTTTCCATTTTGTCATCGATGAGAAGTTCGGTTTCATATTCGTTCACATTGCGAACCATAGCTGCTTTACAATCTTCGCTGTCAATCGCCGGACTCTCGCCGTCTGCGGACAGAAAAATTGACGACCGTCGCTTACTCGAAATAAGCGCCTGCAAGTTGCGAGTGGGGCTACCACCCGTAGCAGAAGCGGTGGCATTGCCATGGTTAGAGCTACTCGCAAGACTTGATGAAGCACGAACACTGCTTCCGGAGCCGGCGCAGAAGCGACTAAACGATAAGATGTTGCTTACCGCAAGCTTCTCATTCTTGATGTTCTGTAGCACGCGCCTAAGCTTTTCCGTCTGCGCCATGGACTCTGCTAGCTGCTTAGATGCGAGTGCAGTGGACAGTTGGCTGCGTAGCACTCCTGAAGCGCCCCCTTGTTCTTCGTTGGCATCAACATCATTTATCTCGTTCTCGTCTAATTTCTTACTAGGACCACTTGTTGCAACACTGAAGGCTGTGGCGCCTGCACAACCCGCTGTCTTCTGCAGATCTCGCGCTTCTACTGCTTTGTCATGGTGCACACCGGCATTCAGTGTATCTGCAGCGTCCCTGTCGTTACTGCTACTGCTACCGTCAGCCGTAGTCGAAGCTGTGCCATCGTCCTCGCTCCATTCTGCCGCGTCCGGGAGAATCGGTAAATCCTCATCATCTTCAATCTCAATTGAACCTCTTCCGCGACGTGAAGAAGTTTTCGCTTGTATTTTTCCTGGCTTGCTCGTGGTCGCGTCTTGTGACGGAGCATTTGCAGAAGACGACCCCGGTTGTGCTGGAGTTGATGACTTTGTCGACGTGCGCGAAGGTTTCTTCCCTGCGCGAACGTCGGAAGTGCTAGATATGGAACCTGTTGATGCTGTCAGGGGAGGCACGTCCTCGTTTGGGAATGCGTCGCTGTGGCCACCACGGAATGTCGAAGTCCTCGTAGGTGCTCCGCTAATGTTGCTACTTGTGCTGTGGTTGTAGCCCAACGGCTCACTGTGCGATGGTACTGCCGCACCATGCAACGTCATACTCGCTAAAACGCCACCTGCCTGCCCTCCCTCGACAACTGGTGTCGTACTCCATGTTTTCTGCTGCTGCACCATTCGCGAAACGACATTATATCTACTTGTACTGCTTCCCTGCCGACTATTTGGCCGTGACGGAGGTCGTTGTCCGACACCCATAAAAGGACTCGACATTTGAAGACCAGCGGCCGATGCCAGTTGCTGCCAGGAACTTTGCAATCCGTCCAGGCCGCTGTGGCTCTGCTGGTCAAAAGGCGCCATCCTAGATGATGGTCGTCCAGGCGATGCTGATGAAGATGCAGTGGCCCCTTCTCCTTTGTTGTTCGTGGGAGTGCCTGACTGGTCCCCTACACCCCATTCCAGTGGATCTCCACCAAAACCTGCAGCCTTCGAGCTTGCTGCAGAACCGGATCCCGCGGCATCGTGCCTCATAGTGGCATTGAAGAAAGACGATGTTGCAGTTCCGTCCGCACCTACATCAATGGACGCAACTGAAGGCATTCGAATATGGTGGTGCCTTGACGGACTTCTCTTGTTCGTCGTGCTGGAGCCGTCAGGAAGATTCGACGATCCAGATCCACTAAATATAGAGGCGGTCCCAGTGTCAATGCCGCTTGTATAGGAGTAGCCCAGTGGATTGCTCCTATCCACACGCGCTTGACCAACGGGAGAAGTCGAATTGAAATCCTGCTTCCCAGAGGGACTCCCACGATCACTCTTGGCATTTGGACTTCGTGGTGATTTCCCGTTGCCGCGAGCGCTGCTGTTGCCACCAGTGTTGGAAGACGTCCCAGTAGACGAGTTTGTTACTGCTGTCATTGTATTTGTCTTCTGTGTCAAAAAGCCCTGAATTGTGTCGCGCATGCGCTGCTCATACGCGCGAAAGTCTTTCGGTCGAAGCTCGCGCCCCTTCCGCCAGTTGATGCCGCTCACTAGTGTGTTCATATCGTGCAGATGAAACTGCAGAGTTGTGCCGAGATAAAACGGTTTGCCGCACAATGCATCGCCAGCAAAGCAAATCACCGTCTCTCCATCGGTTGTTGACGTCGAGGAACCCGAATTATCGTCGCCAGGACCTGAGCCGCTAGATGCGGCTGTGGAACTTGAGGATGATGAAGGCTGACCTCCACCCTTTGATTTTCTTCTGTCTTTTGATAACCCACCGCCATCTCCTAGCGTGGCGCCACTTGCTGTACTGCGCGCGCGAGGCAGCGTCAGCACTATGTCTGCGAAGCCAGGCGCGAAGTTTTGCTGCTGCGAAGCAGAGGGGCGAGCAACAGCTCCGGTCGCGTTGGCTGCATCCGCGCTCGGTCGCTTCGGAGACACGGAGCGTCGAGGCGACACGGAAGGAGAGCGCGCCCCAGCGGGTATGCGCAGACCCCAATGGTTCGCCTCAGTGCTGTTCACCTGGATCCCATGGGTTTTCTCGTAATCGATGCAGCTTTCCAAGGCTAAAAACAACGGATCCCCTTTTTCAGTCCGCACATAGGGTGCGGAACACATTTCTGCGAAGCTGTTGAAGGAATTTCTTTGCTGGTTATATGGTCCTTCGTCCTCGCGCTCTAATCTAGCAGAAGAAAGACCTTCTAATGTGCCGTCAATGTCGCCCTCGCGCAAGGACGGCGAGTCTCCATCACCTCTTTTCGAAGCCGAAGGAACCACGACTTTCGTCCCGCGAAGTAACTCTATTGCCGCAAAAACTTCATCCTGTTCGAAGTCTGGGCGGTCCGCAGAGATGTGTCGTCCTCCAGCAGAT